GCGGCGTCTTCGAGTCCATAAAAATATAATTGCTGAAGGTATTCTGCAGACCAAGAACAGATCCAACATCGCGGGCCACCGATCCATTGACGTCCGATGCTCGCATGCGCAGGATCGAAACAACCGAATTGTCACCAGAATAGACATAATTTTTCGAACTATCATCAGACCGTGCTTGTTCGTTGCTTGCTACGGCCGGTGATCTAGGCGAAGCCGAGCGAGGGACACTGTGGCGAGAAGTCGATCTGCGCCTCGAATGTGCAAGGGCGTAGGTGCAGATTTCGGGGTGTTTTCGCTTCTGACAAGTACGACATGGTTGGTTCCCATCGCATTTGACTTTCCGCTTTCTGCATGTGTAGCATGCATGAGCCTCTCGCTCTCGGCTCTTGAGGTGTAGCACCCGGTCTGCTTCGCTTTGACTGACGGCGCTCATGCTGCCGAGGACTCCGAGGTACCGGGATTATCAGGGGTTGCTGTATTGGCCAAGAAAGTGTGTCGTTTGAAAGGGCGTGACTCTTTCAATACAATAACATGCATCCGAACTCAGTATAGGGTGATATAGGCTAGACTGAGCGATGTAGGGTGAAACGCAGGTCGGGTTGGGTTTCCGCCTAGACAGACGGGGGCCCATGGTTGCTTGGCGAGTATCCATGGGTACGGAGATACCCAAATTACCCTAAAAGCTTAGAAAAGCTTACATTATCAAGAAAAGTGAGGACATTTATCAGAATTTCAATCTATATTTGAAGTAACAGAGTACTATATACACTTGATTTACTCCTCCCGGAATCCCATCTTCGTCCAGTTGGCCAAAACCTTCTGCTTGACCGCCTCAGGATACGAGCTCTCAAAATCGGCGGCCTCCCAATTTTTCCCGGTAGTATACTCACAGGGAAGAAGAGCATCAGAAACAACCTTTCCACCCTTCACTGGCGATCCCTTTCCATGGGACATATATGGAATAAGAGGGAACCCGGGCACATCCTCGAAGAAGACCTCATCGAGGTTAGGACGGCAGCGAGTCGAGAAAGCCCACATCACGTCCTTGCCATTATAGACATCAATATCATCGCCACAGAGCACCAGCCGGTGGATAGTGTACCCGGCCTTGGAGTTGAAGATCAGGTCGCCGACCTTCTTGGAGAATTCTTTCGGGGTGGTCTTCATTTCCCGCAGCTTTGCGGTGTCGATTCTCAGAGCGACCCAGGTCACTTGGGACTCGAACGGCGCGAAGGCGTCGGTTACGGGGAGACCGGCTTGTTGGCAGATCTTGCGGATCACGGCAGCGGCCAGTGAGCCGATCATGGTATGCTAATGCTATTAGTAGGGATCCGGAAATATGGGGATGGATGGCTTACAGTCTCATCGGTCAATCGACCGCAAGATGACATGGGCATGATGGGATTATTGCGGTAGGTGATGCGGTTGACCTTGTACTTAGGACACAGGTGGACATCTCCAGGAAAGACATAGCCGTGCATCTCACCAAAAGGACCCTCGGGACCCTTGTCCGTGATAGAAAGGGTCCCCTCGAAGACAATCTCAGAGGTGGCAGGCACGTAGAGATCGTTGGTATCGCACTTTACCAGATCCAAGGCTGAGCCAGTCATGGAACCGACATATCCAGCCTCAGACACACCATCCGGGATGGGCATGCTCGAGGCCATGATGGCGGCAGGGGGAACACCGAATGCCAGAGCCCAAGGGACGTCGCGGCCTTCTTTCTTCCACATCTGGTGGATTTGCCAGAGGTGCTGAGGCTCAATGACCAAACCGGTCAGGTGCTTATCGTCGGAGACCATAGCACGGGCAATAGACCAGTTAGTCCAGGATCCATCGGGGGACTGAACAATGTGCATTCCGTAGGTCTGGATGTACTTTCCTCCATCGGCCTGGTGGATCAGGGGTGCAGGCAGCTTGGTCAGATCAATCTGGCTTTCTTCGAGGAAGTTCTCTTTGCAAGGACCGGTAGACACGATGTTGGGTGGGATCGGGGTGCCAGCCGAGAGCATCTTGTCGAGGATGTCGCGCATAGATGCGGTCGGTGGCAAGGCCAAGTGTCGTGCAAGTCGACCATAGCGATCCTTTGAGGAATTTCTGAGAGATGTGGGTGCACCTAGGATGCGGAAGAGACCCTTCTCAGTACCAATGATGTTGTTGAAGAGCGGGGCCTTGTCGTTCGTTTCACAGACAAGACGAGTGATGGCGGCTGCTTCGAGGTTGGGGTCAATTGGAGTGTCGATCTCAACCAGATCATTGTCGGCCTTCAAGGCTTCGACAAATGACCGGAAGCAAAGGTGAGGTTCAATGTTGGCCATTGTGAATATGTCTTCGTAGATTGAGATGTATGTGCTAAGTGCAGTTGAACTTGTGAACCAGGGCAGCCCTTGACAATTCAGCCAGCTTAAGTAGCCCTGTGGGAGTCTTTACGGCGGCAGTCTCGGATCGCTACACATCAATTCGAGTGACACAAGCCGATCAATGAGATTTCTCAGGATGCTGCATACTTCGGATGGCGGACCCCACTCCGAGCCCCGAGATACCGAGACACCGAGACACCGAACACGATCCTTGGAACTCGAACCGCTCATTCTCTATTTTTATTTAAGGGAAATCGTTACTCGGAATCGGATGTCGGAATTGTCGTCATAATGCAAATGGATCACCGCTGCAGGTCCGCTAATGCCCTAAAAGGCTGCCTAGACGCGTCACGGCTTAAAGGGGAGACTTTTCCATGTATGAGCAGGAGTGGGGATATCGGTGTATTCGCATGCGCTTCGCACTCTGTGTGGTTCTTATAGTACACTCTGAAGGACATGCAGCTATTTACGTAATTCTGCTTGCACCCACTCGTCCTGTTCGAGTTCCGCAGCAGAGCTTCGCTTTTCCGGCTCCCATTGTAGCATTTTTCGCACTAGGCGAAGAAACATCTCTTTTTCTTCTCCCTCGAGACTAGTCTCCCTTTGCTCGATTGGGACGTGTCCTCCTATTAATTCTCCGGTGAGAAAGTCACCTAAAATAGCAGAAACAGTCAATAATTGACACTTTCTAGTCATAGGTCGGAAAATGGCAGATAGATGAATTACCTTCCTCTGAAAAGAACTTTTCCATATGATTCCCCCGGGCAAGGAAACTTGGCGGTGGCGGACCGAGCAGGCGTATCATTTCGGCAAGATGAGCTCGACTCCTGTAAGCCTTGAACTCTGGGTCCTGGCCGCTAAACAGCGATCCCCCTTCGAAAAGGTTCCAAATCTGACAACGTAAGTCTATAAACGTTTGCATCACAAGTATAGGCTTTCTTACCACACATCCCACATTCCATACATCGACGCTATATGACCATGGAGCTTGCAAGATCACTTCTGGTGCTCGATATATATCCGGCTGAATGTCTTCGGTGTGTTGTTCGTCGCCCATCACAGCCGAGCCGAAATCGCAGAGGACAGGCGCGCCTACGTTCTTAGGCGTTCTGAGCACGCTGGAGGTATAGATTATCCTTCCATCTAACTCCTTCCTAGGACAAGGATCTTGAAGCTCATCGTTTTCAAAATCCCTGAAAACGGAATCATCAGCAATGCCGAACATAATGTTATCTGCCTTGATATCTGATATATTGATAAGCAAATGATCGATCTTAAGACTGGGAAAGGAAAACCGCACCAGTATGGATGATCTTGCATTCTGTATGCAGATAGTCCAATGCAAGAAATAGACGATGAAGCGTCACTGCCAAGATTGGCGTCGGTAGTCTCTGTACCGGATTACGGAATAGAAAATCCAACATACTCTCCCACAATGGCGGATGCACGAGACATCGATGTTTGTCTTCAGGTCCACTGACATCAAAGGAGTCCAGCAAAGATCTAACATACTTGCGACCTGCGTGATTCCGGGGAGCGCCTTCGATACGTTTGTATATCTTCAGCTCGTCATCCAGTTGCTGTCCCATCGTTGTGGACTTTATGAAAATCTTAAGAGTGACATAGCGACGGCAGCTGTATTTTTAGTGAGTGAAGGGGTTGTAAAGGTATCGTCTTCTTACTCCATATCACGTGCGAGCCACACGGTTGAGCTGGCTCCAAATCCCAGTTTCCCCACAACTTGGTATCGGTCCTTGAGGATTTCCCCTATTCGAGTAGGATAATACCGGCCCGCAACATAGCCTGGGATGGTTTCCTCCTCGATTGCATGGCTCGTTGGTATCCGAGTGAAATTCTGATTGGTGAAGTTGAGAGGTGTCCATCTTCGTCCGAGTCGGGGCAAGGACTTCAGAAGGGACGATAGCATCTCTGAGATAACGCCAGTTTTTTCTTGTAGAGCGTTGGATTTACGTTCGAGATATGGATGGGAATGTCAAGATAACAATGGATGAGTGACAGAAGATGGCCCCTTGATCTACACACCGGCACGGCCCGTGACCAGACCTCACATGCACAAGGAGATACGCCAGAGACATCTTCCATGACGAAGAAGAGATGCAAATTACGATAAGTGGATGATTATTAGAAAAGAATCACTGGAACTACACTAGCGAGCATATACAGAAAGGTACACAAAGAGCCGAAAGATCATTCCACACCTCGAACTTGTAATATATTATGTCTTCCTCTGCACCACTATCTACACCACAACACAAAGGCTACAAAGAACAGGCTTAAACGCCAGCACGCTTAGTAGACGCACGAGAGCAGCTGCATGCCGAAAGCAAGAGCATGAAAAATAAGTAGAGAAACTTAGAGTGGAAAAAGTTAGAGAGGCGAAGAGAAGACATAACTTCCCGCTCATCTCATGGCCATTGACATAAAACATAAAGGCAGGAAATATTGTAGACATTTAAACATGCACACACATTGCTCATAGGTTTAGGGTTAACGGAACTGAAACCGGAGTCCCAGTGAACGGTCATAACTGTCGTAAGGAAAGAGCAAGCAGAAAAGGCAAAAGCGCTAGATGGAAATGGAGATTGAAAACATCAACCCAGGGGTATCACAATGCAAGTCTCAATATTGCTCATCGTCATAGTCGACTTGCACGGGACTGCCTCGGTAGCGGGTTCGCTTGATATTGCCTGGGCTGTAGGAGCCGGCAGATGCAAGGGGACGCGGGCCAGTTGGCTTGCGAGTGGGGGGCGAGCAGACGGCAGAACTCTGAAGAGGGTGGAGATTAGAACTTGTTCGACTGAAACGGTAGCGGGCGATCCTTGGGAATACATACTCTAGAAACAACACGGTCGCCACTGTAAGCTGGTTCCTCGTTATCCGTCACTTTGGGTTGACGCTCGGGAATGAGAGGGCCCGAATCGAGGATTTTAGGAGGACGGGGTGGACCTGGTGTACGGGTTGCTTGGGAACTGGTCTCCGAGTAGCCTGCGTCGGAGATCGGGGACAGGCGCGCGGCACCGCTGTTGCGGTTTTGGGAAGGGTTGACCAGGCTGGGGTTGGAATCCCACTGCTCTGAGCCAGTGGGAGAAACCGGACCTCCGTAGACCTGGGCCTCGGTTTCGAGGCGGGACTGGTAACGTGCGGTTGGGCCTTGTCGAGGCTGGGGGTGCTGCAGCTCGAGACTTCCACGGTGGCCGCGGTATTTGGGCGCTTCAGACACCTGGGAAGGCACTAATGGTGAAGGAGGTCTGTTCTCATCTTGCTCTTCGTTCAAGGTATAATTGGATCGGATTCTGTCATCCCCCTGGGGATCATGATACGCTCCCTGGGGTGCGAGATCAGATCCAGACCGAGACTCATCCGAGGTCGGACGCTCTTTGCGGGAAGGCTGGATGCTGTTGCGAATGCCGTCGCCCATGGAGGTCGCCGTGGACTTAGACCAGCGCGAGATCTTCGGGAAAATGGACGAGCTGCTGGACTTGTGCTTGCGAGCCTTGGGGGTTGTCTCGGTGCTACGAGCTGACGTGACTACCGGCTTGCGTGGAGGCGTGTCAAGCGGCAATGAACCCGACCGCTCATGATGGGGCGCATCGCGGACAGGGAGATGTGAAGTCAGAAACTGGTCACCCTCGTCAAGCTCAAGGTCTTCGTCAACTTCATGGACGGTGCTGACTCGCTGGTCCGAATTTCTGCGCTGCGCATTGGCCGGACGAGAAGAGCCGGACCCGTAAGGCGAGCGGCTCGTCTCGGTAGGTACACCGTTTGGACCAGGAGTCTCGTACCCATTTGGCTCTATGCTTCCCATTCTGGTACCACCGTGAGGGCTCAGGCCATCTTGTCCGGATCGCAGGGCCTCAACCTCGTCAAGCAGGTGCTCGAGCATGCCTTCAATCTTGGTCAAATCACTGCCCGACTTGAGGCTCAATCCCTTGAGCGCACGCTTGAAGATGTTCTTCCGCTTGTCTTCCTCTTCAGCGTTCAGCTGCCGAGCCCGAGAACCACTGGGGGTAATGGCCGGGGACCACCAAGCGCCCTGTGAGTCCGCTCATGTCCCCTGTCACTAACGTCCATGATGAGATCATCTTGGTCGGCGATGAATTTCCTCATCTGCTCAAAGGAAGTGCGCATCTCAGCAGCACTTCGGACCAAAGTAATCAGAATCTCGGTATCTCTGGCATTGCGCTGGGCGTCTCGAACAGTCAAATGATCCATAAGAGCCACAATGTCCTGGGATTGAATTCTCTCGATGCCTCGGCCGGTAGCACTGTCGTAGAGTGGGGAGCCAACACCGTGAGAGTAGCCACTGAAGTGGCGCTCATTACCAGAGGCAAAAGGATCGTCTGCCCCAGCAGAACTATCGAAACTACCCATTCCAGCGGCATCCGCGCCCGCAAGGCCGCGACTAGCTTGCTTCGGGGTCCCGATGCTGGGAGACATGGGGTTGGCAGCCGAAACATAGCCTTCATCCTTGGCACCAGGAGGGGTACCGAACGATTGCCGGGCCTGGTTATCGCCAGAGTGGGCAGAGTAGTCATCGCCGCCAAAGATATTCTGGGCAGTCTGGTAGTATTCCGCGTCAAGCCCTATCTGCTGCTCGGCATTGAGACCCTTAGATCCACCTATCTGGGTATCGTAGTAGTGATCCGGCGGCGGAGATCTTGAATCATATCCCCAGTTTTCTGCCTGAGCGACACCACCGATGGGGCCCTGTATAATGGACGGGTTGGTGTTGATTTCAGACTCTGAGACTTGGCTTTCAGCGTCTGTGTGAGGACTTTGCTTTTCATGTGGGACATTGGCATCCATCATAGCAGAGTCGTCGATGTCATCCAAAGACTGGGTAACGCTCTGAGGGGGCGATGTGACACCCATGCGTCGGGGGAACGAGGTCTCATCGGCAGTGAAAGCATCCTGGCGTTGCTTCAAAGGGCTTCCGCGGTAAACTTCACTTCCTGGCTTTTCAGGGCTTCGGTTGCCTGGTCGTTGACTTAGATCTGTTTGCGAGCGGTTCGATGAGACATGAGATTCAAGGACAGAGGGATCCATCAAGGAAGCGACTGCAGATTCGACGGGCATCGGGTGCATAAATTGGGGATTAGCAGCAGCACCGGTAGTCACACGGTGGCCTTCTTTGACTTTCTCCATAAAGTCTACATCGCTATCCCCATCGTCGTGAGAGCGTCTGCTCTCCTCGTCATAGCCATAGAAGCCATTGTCTTGGGAACCCTGGCGCGAATGTTCGTATCCGAGCCCAGGTGATTCCTGGCTGTGCTGCTTGAAAATTGCACTCTGGCTGTGTGAGCTAGTGCCCTGACGAGTGGATCTAGCGAGGTTTGTACTGGGGGCGGATGACAGAGAGTCAATGGAGAGTCGAGGCTCCATCTCATGTTTGCCGTCGACATGCTGATCACTGTGAGTCGAGTAATGATCGTGGCGAGTCCCAGTATGATCACTTGCAAGACTCTGAATGGGGCTCAGTCCGCGGCTGTTGGTTTCATTGTGATAGTCATCTTCCGTTTCATGATGTCCGGGGTGAGCGGCATCAAGGAGATTAGCTGCGGCTGCAGCTGCAATTGCCCGGTTACCACCATCGGTTCCAGGAGATTGGCTCTGGTGATGAAGGTCACGCTCCGAAGCACTGTGCACCGAGATATTATGTTGCGACTGATTGCCATGGCGCATTCCGAGCCCATAACGCGAGTCGGCAGAATTTCTAGTAGGAGTGCGAGAAGCTGGCGACATGGCCTGCCTCGGCGATCCACGAGTAGTGTCGAAGTAGGAGGTTTGTTTTTCGGGAGTGGGACTTGCCGTTCGCTCCGAGAGCAGCGAGTTTCTGGTCAACTCGGAGTCCATCTCGCTGCGCATTGGCATTGGCGCAACATTGTGCTTCTGGAAAACAAGTTCGGTTTCGTTATAGTTCATACTCTCAGTACTCTTGCGTGAACTTTTCCGAGAGCCACTATCTCGGCGGCGGTCATTTCTGCCGAGACTGGAATTGGAATCGTGGTGTTTCAAAGAAGCCGCCGTGAGAGCAGACCCAACTCGGGCAGCAGCGTGAGCGTCGCGGAGACCCTTGCTCTTCTGCCTGCGGATCTTGTCTTGTTCGGTGAAGTCGGGTCGATTGGCCCATCTCATCGCCAGTTCGGAGCTTTCGCTGCTTTTGCTTGGTTTGCGCTCCTTGACCTCCTTGACTTCCTTGACCTCTTTACTGCGTGGGGCCGCCTCGGGAGAAAGAACAATGCCTTCGTCTTTACTATTCTTGTTCAGAACAACTTGGGGCAAAACATCCGGCGCACTGGCGTGCTTGGAGAGACGTCGACCTAGCTCATCTCTGGAGCTCGTGCCGGACGAATGAGATGTAGCCACGTCCCGATCGAATTTGTTCTTGTTGGTCATTACTTTTTGGTCCTTCTTGAGCTCCTTTAGCTCCGGTAGAATCAATCTTCTGATCGCATCTTCAACCGTCTCTAGTAACTTTGGATTGTTGATAGAGGACTTGGATGCACCGGAGCGAACCGAGTACTGATCGGACTTGCGGTTTGAAGAGACTCCTGATGTGCTGAGAATACTTGAGTCAGGACTAGTGACATCCTCTTCCGCATACTTGCGCGTCCGGCGACGGGATGGTTTTGTTTCGGCTTCGAGGTAATCCTTGCCGCCCTTGCTTCTGTGTCTGCCGCTCGAAGCCTCTTGCGGTGATTCAGTGAGCTTTTCTGCTACGCGATGTGCAATTCGCTCATGACTCAAACTGCGACTTCTTTGTCGGTGAGGGGTCTTGAGCAATCCCTTATCTTCGTCGGCATCACGCTCCATACTCTGGCTGCGTTTCCGCCTGGGACCAGCCGACGACGCGTTGATCATGCTGTCCGGCGGCATGGACGAAACCTCCGATGCGTTGGTCATGTATCGATTATCTTGCGAGATGGAAGACATCTCGCTACCCTGTCCGCGGTTCACAATTTCGATATCTACCGGATCGCGACGTGACGAATAATGACCCTCTTCCTCAGCTGAATTCGAACTAAAGCTCAGGTCATCCGCTCCCGATTCCAATTGCTTTTGTTTTGCGGATGCTGATGGTAGGGATATCCGGTGGGTATATGACGGTTTGCGGCTGTGGCTTCCGCTTGACTCGGTGATTTGGAAGTGGTCTTTCTTATCCCTGGACTTTCTAGCTGACGATGGGGTTACACGCACTCGCACACTAGGACGAGAGACAATGCCGCTTGCACCTTTGCCGCCCTCGAAATACTCGATGAGTAATGAGGTGTGGGAGTCGTGTTGAGCTCGAGACAATTTTTCCTCGCGTTCCCGCTGTCGCCGAGTGGAGACAGTGACGGGGCTACCGTCGTCTGGGATGGAGTACGACGTTTTGTCTGTGCGGCGAGAAAGGTCAGTTGCCAGATCTGTGCCCGTTGCGCTGTCCCCCGTGGTATCGATGATGGATTCTGTGGGGGCGGGAAGGATCGGTTTGCGGGTGTTGACCCCCATGGTGGTGAGGCGTCCTTCAACCCAATCGCATGCTCCGTCGTGCTCGACCGAGGGTGATGGAGGGGAGTGTTGTCAGGGTGATCACTGTTGCTCCGTGCTTGTTGGCACGATAGTGGGGAAGGACAAATTACAGGAACCCAAGAAGAGAACCCGAGAATTATTTTGATAGGAGTTGAGAGCGTACCAGCGCAGACCACGGAACAGTGGGGAAGAATTAAGAATGGGGAGAATTAGGAAGGAGAGAGAGGAAGCAACGGTGAGGGTGCCCAAGAGGTGTTGCTGTCGAAGCTCGCCGATCCCTCACATGAAAATGCGAGAGAGGAAAAGGGGAAAGGAATTCAGAATCGCTAGGAATGAAAGATGAAGCAAAGGATAAGTCAGGCGAATATCAGCCGGTACCCGAGTAATTAAGATGCCCAGCCTCATAGAAAAAAAAAACCGAAAAATGAAGAGGCTGGATGTGTTGGCGATTGTACATCGAAGGTTCCGAGCCGCGTGGGCCACCATACAAAGAGTACCCGACCGCTACCTGTGTACCCGTGACCGACGAAGATAGGGACGTTGTAAACAAACGGAACCCTGGAATCCGTTCGGGATCGTCTTTGGTTCCTTGGTTCTTCAATTACTTTATTTATTTTATTCACCTCCAGGCCCTGCTCTGTATACTCAACATCTGAGGACGTCGTGGCTGGGAGAATTGGGCATCTCCAGCCCTTCTAGACCAACGCCAACCCAACTTTCCCTCCCAAACACCCCATCACAAACCCGGCGAAACGCTTTGGTGTCCTCGTCACACACGATCACACACGGTCCACCTGCAGTTCTCCGTGGACCCGCAAAAGACAAGGCGAAAAAACACTGAAATAGGCACACACCGTCGCCCAGACGACAGAGACCCTGGACAAGATCGGGTGATTGGGCTCAGCGTCTGCCAACTCATCACACTCGTGTGCTCGGGCGTCCACCTTGCCGACCTCTCCATGTTGGGATAATTGGAATTGGTGGAATCAATGAAATGATTGGCCTATCTATCGCACGGATACAAAATAATACACCGGCAAAATTTCCCAACTTTTGGCCCCAGATGCACTACCACATAACTAACTCTGTGATCTCACCTCTGACTGGACAGAACTATAGTAGCGCTTGCAAGGGGGTCCAAGCAATTCCCATCCAGACTACTGGCGCAGCTGGGGGTTGAGCACTTGCTGCATCTCGTACATTAGTGGCAATCGAGCTGCTTGACTTTGTTATTGGCAACGATCGCTTGTCCACAATACTGTGTAAGATTGGCATCTTCCAATTGGATCGCTTCGGTGGGTATGGGAGGGTTGAGTAACTCACTACATGTAGGTACCAATATGTACGGAGTACTTCGGTAAGGATCCTTTAGTATAGGGATTTTCATTGTACATACCTTTTCTGTAGTTCTCCTCTTCTTGTTTGAAGTCAAATCCCTTCCACGTGGGAAAAGGTTGAATCCCACATGGCTCAATGAATGCTGGGCTGTGGCATTCCATGAGGAGGAATAAGCTTTACGGTCATCACATAGTCAGATGTTGTACGATTTGCGGCGATGTAGATGACCAAACATATATCGGGCAGACTTCTAGGCTGAGCATATGCTTACCGTGTAACGGTATGGACAAACCATGGTACAAGGCGCAAGGAGGTGTAAAGAAGAGATTTATCCATACAAGCAAGATACATTCGACTATCCCACCGAATATTCAACTCGGATGCCATCTCTCATGATTACAGAATAAGGGGACAAAATTGAAACCCAAATAGATATATCCACATTGCTGAACTCCAATGTCCCTAAAATAAATATGCAGAGACAATCGATCGCTTTTGATGTTCATACAGATTGTTCTCAGTCATTGTGCTTCCGCTTGAACTTCAGTCCAGCACCATGCTTGGGCTGGCTGCCGTACGTGCGGCGTCCTTGCTGCTCCTGCTTCTTATCGCGGCTGAGGCTGGCGCCCAGCTGGATGTCAATGCGAGGTGGGGCGTTGAAACCGAAGCCCTTGGCAACCTTGACGAGGTCAAGCTTGTTCACGTCGAACACGGTGCGAAGAGAGTGCGAGGCGTATGCTTGGAGATAAGAACGGTAACCATCCTTGGCAGACTGCACAAATGGGTTAGTATACGGGTAAAACATGAGAGGGGAAGATAGCTTACCTTGTTGAGGTAGTAGTTCTGGCCGATGAGCTTCTCTAGCTGAGACTGCACATTGACAATCTTGGAGGCCGGGAACTCGAACTCCACGACAGGCACACGCGCGTCCTTGAGGTGCTTCAAGAAACCAACCTCGGAAGGCTGGAGGAACATTAGACTGCGGCCCTTGCCTTCGGCACCACGGGCGGTACGTCCGACACGGTGAATGTAGTCACGGGGATCATCAGGAGGGTCAAACTGGATAATCCAATCGACAGCGGGGATCTGGAATTTGAGTCAGTTATGGAATCAACGTGGTAATGGGGTTAGGGAACGCACATCCAAGCCACGAGCAGCAACATCAGTACAGATCAAGGTACCTTGCTTGGCATTGCAGAACTCAAAGAAAGTATTGGTCCGCTTCTGCTGCTTCTGCTTTCCGTGCAGCTCCAGAACGGGGAGATCGATGTAGTTCAAAAGCTCGGCATGGTACTTGACGCAATTGCAGCTCGAGAAGAAGACAATAATCTTCTTCTTGAGGTTACGCTTGAGGAATGAGAAGAGAAGCAAGAAGCGCTTGTCTGCCTCACACACTACGTAGCCTTGTTCCAGACCCGCCACTGTGCTGTGCTCCTTGCTGTGGTCGACGTTAATGTAAAGCGGTCCGGGGCGTAGAGATATACGGGCCAGATCCTCGACCTTGGTGGTCTGTGTGGCGGAGAATAGCATAGTCTGACGTTCTTCTTTAGGCAGAATTCTAACAACCTGGCGCATCTCATCTTCGAAGCCGACTTCGAGAATTCGGTCAGCCTCGTCAATGACCAAGGTCTTCAGGTTCTTGAAGATGAATCCTTGGGTGTTCTGGAGGTGATCCAGCAAACGACCGGGTGTCGCAATGAGCAGGTTGACACCCTTCATCAGCTTCTCGGCCTCAGCGCGACGGTTGGCACCTCCAATAACAATACCGTATGTCTGCGAGTGGTGGGCCATGAGTTCACGGGCGACACCGAAGATCTGCAGTGCCAGTTCGCGGGTAGGGGACACGACGAGAACACCAGTACCTGCATGAAAGGTTAGCCACCAGTCTCAATGGCAAGTAAATATCAGATAAATGCATGGGAAAACTCACCGTTTCTTGGCTTGAAGCGCAGGGCGTGCAGCATCTCAATCGCGGGGAGCAAGAAGGCCAAAGTCTTTCCAGAACCAGTCTTCGCAGCACCGAGCACATCGCGTCCGGCAAGCAAAGGAGGGATGGTACGCTGTTGAATCTCAGTCATGGTTGTGAAGCCCATGTCGTTGATACCCTGCATGGTCTTCTCGGAAAGGTTGAGCTCAGTGAACTTCTGCAGCTTGCCCTCAGTCTGGGGCAAGCGGACATCTTCCAAAGTCGGAAGATCTGTACCATTCGCAGCCTCGGAGTCTTCAGTATTACTCTCCTCCTCCGCATCTACCTCCTCCGCATCTACCTCCTCGACATCTTCAGCGGCCTCGGCGTCGTCGCTCTCTTCCTCGGCGCTTTCTTCCTCGGCACTTGGTGAAGGGCTGACCTTGCGCTTCTTGGTAGTTTTCTCAGCTGAAGCCTTTGGGGTCGAAGCAACACTCTTTTTCGGGGTCACTGAAGGGCTGGGTTTGCCTTCCACGGGCTTGGCGACATCGCTCTCTGCTTTCGAGCCGTGCTTTCTCTTGCGCTTGTTGATGGACTTTGCGGTGTCCACGGGGCCAGGCATTTTGTTGATTGGTCCTGCGACAGTGTAATATTTGACACTGGAACAAATCAATCAGGGATTGTCTCGTATAACCTGGACCTTGTGTTTTGGAGGTCTAGATTATTGATCTTTGCGGGCGGAAATCATTCTGCTACTTTTTTTTTCTGATCGGTAAAATATGGCAGAACTCCACATCACGTGTTGATAACTAACTAGTTAGTTAGTTAACTAACTAGACTTGATCAGTTGGTGCCTGAACAATGAGGCGGATTCTTGACCTGCTTACGAAGGCACCTTCCTTTTTGGGCACGAGGTTGGCCATCTCCTGTGGCCTTGATCGTTACCTGGATGTGACAGTTCGAACCCAGAAAGATCACATGTGTTTCAAGTTTAAGGCTCCCGTATTTTGAAAATGATCAGGCATTTTTTACACCCGAGATGAAATGATGCCGAGCAGTATACGCACCTGGGTTCCCCTTAGTGGAACAAGGACGGGATGTTAGTCTGAAGGCTGTGCAAGGCTGTGCAAGGCTGTGCAAGGCTACGTTGGCCTCAAGTTAGGCAACTGAGATATTACTGTGACTATTTATGTTGTATGACATGTGTTAGTGCCTGCTCAGTTGTCGTACTTTTGTCTATTCCAAGGGCTGGGCTGCTTTATCTTTGTCTAGGGGCAATGGTCTTCGATATCCTTGCTCCGACAAAGTCTCTGTAGTTATACATGAATTCTGACTTTAAGACCTGTTGTACGTACCAGCCAAGGTTTCTATTCCTTAAGAGCCGATAGGAGCCATTAGCTAGCTTGACAGTCTACTATGTAACTAGTAGTGTCAGGTAAAGCACTATGTAGCGAAAGACATTTAGGGGTATTTACCTAGAAAACTCGACGAAGGCTCGGAGGTGGCTGGGCAAAAAAACATCTCACGAGGACTACCATTGAGCTACTCAATGATAGAATAGTTAGAGTATTCTTGCTCCTTACAAATTGAAACTTCAGACTGAAGACAAATATAAAATTGCAAACAAAGTGATATATATAACCCAAGTGCTCCATACCTTGAACGAAATCCAATTGCAGCCAAGGCAGAGATTTCTGGCCAATGATATTCAATGATTCAACCACGAATCAGATAATGTCGGTGGAGCCAAAAATACAAAATACTTTGGGTGCCAAGATAAGCTTATCCTAGTTAGGTTAGATCAACGTGCTAACAGTGTTTACCTTATGGGAAGTTTCTGTTTAGTTCATACCTAGAAAGGTATGTAAGCCAGCTATTGTTGTACAACTTATAGCTAGACTACCAATGGTTTAGGCGCCTAGCAGTCAAGAAGATATATACTAGTACATACTAGGTCTTATGATGGTTCCGGCATCTAGAGGACCCTTTATGGTACCACAAATTCTATGCAATGTTGAAGGTCAGAGATTACACGGGAAATGAAGACGTTATGACGCGCACATGAAAATAGTGATCGTTCTGATCATCATTTCCTGGTGATCAGGGGATGTTGAATAATAAAACAAATTTGTAATAAAAGGGGGAGGGGATATGATTTGACACAATCATACCAAGCTCACAAATGGTCCATGCATATGGAGGTGACTTTATTTCTGAAACGTGTGAGCCGAGATGATACTAAACGAGGCTGTGCAATTGTGTGAACGCTATTTAGTAGATTTCCATGTTTCTATGTAGATCCTTATGCCATGCATCTGCAGTCTATTGATGATATTTTGATGATATTTTCTCTTGTGTCTTCTCAAAATTAATAGAAAAGTATACTATATCATGTGTATTACCATTGGAAGTGCTCTGGATTTGTAATGGTAGAAATAGAGTCCAACGGTCTTCCCGGCTCTAGAACCCTAGAGTAGACTAAGAACAATAATGTCTACAAAGTACTCCATAGTTAATGAGCTCTCGCTAACTAGTATTTCATTAGTGTTCGGAAAGGCTTACCCCCGGATCTAGAACTAAGAAACATAAAAATTCGGCAGAGATATCAGCCAATGACTCTTAGCTCTCCTTCCATTTTAGTGTTTATCTCTTGCCGCCTTTCGCTCAGAGTAAAATCGAGCACGCCCCTGTTGTATCACTGACTGCGCGCCTGATCGTCCCCGCACCCACTAAGTCACCCGTACCGTGCGGTTAAGCAATCCATTTACCTTTCCCACTCAGCCAACGTGGAGACTAGCCAAAATAAATCAGAGCTTTTGACTTTTTTAGTTTGCTATGATTAAGCCCCAAGAAAGATTCCTCTCTGACAACCAGGGCTATTTCGGCCGCAAAGAGAACCCCTTAACCGAAGCCCATTGCAACGTCTGGGATTGGGATCAACTGCGGATGATCAAGGTCAAAGGCAGCGCCAAAGTGTTACCGCCAGAGGAGGACAAAGAGTGCCTCATTCTGGCGCAATTTGCCGATCACCTGTCACCGCAAGTTCGCTCAATTACAGTCGACGATGATGGGCTTCTTACTGAAGTCTCAATGGATCCAAATGAGGATGACACTTTATTTGTTGCATACCTTCCCTTCTCGATGATTAAATCGCTCCCTGGTTGCTCGCTTGCCGATTGCCGTACAATCTATTACTCTGAACTCGAAGAGATTGATCGACTTGGACCAAGCGTTGATCTTTTATCCTATGAAGACGAATCTGGGACTCCTCAGAGGGTTGCCTTTAAATTCAACGTGATACAAAGGCCTTTAAGCATCCGGATGGCCTGGGACGAAGTCAACATCCTTAAGTGTCTGCCGCCGCATCCTAATATAGTACCATTTGATCGTGTTGTTCTCGAAGACGTGGAATCTCGGGTGATAGGATTCACAACAAAGTATATCCCAGGCGGAACTCTCGCCGATCCAACCAATCTGAATGTACCGTTCCGATTTGAGTGGCTAGAACAGCTTACCCAACTTGTGGATTTCCTAAATCTCGAACTAGGGATCATGCATCAAGATATTGCACCCCGGAATCTGCTTATCGATCCTGATACAAATAAGATCCTTCTCTTCGACTTCAATTGGGCTGTATCTAGGAAGGAACTTTTGCTAGATAGCCGCGATGATGTGATTGGCGTCGTATTCACGCTATACGAGATTATCACAAACGATACGCACTTCACGAGCATTCCCCACTGGGATCGACAGATGGACATGGTTCAGAGTATATCGGAGTGGACTTGCAACCGTGAACTTGACTCTGACGTATCGAAATTCCGCACCTTTTTGAATGAATGGGTTGCGAGACGCAATGGGGACATGGAAAGATATATCAACGCACCGAACCGACTTACATGGCCGGACCTGCCAACCCCGCCCGACCATAGTGTGCCTTTCCAGCTAGGCAATACCCGGGACGGAGAGCCATATATGAGAACAGGCGTGCGGTCTCGGCGCACCGCAATGAAGCTGGGGCAGTATTGCTTTCGCTGGGAGAGGCCACCTCAGAGCAGGTTGCTGAAAATGGCCAAGAATGGTGTATGAACCACCACGTTCAATCATCGAATCAAAATCAGACCATAGGCTAGTTCTGTTTGACTCTTTATTATAGTAAACAAGATTCTTGAATCATCCGTACATATTGTCCTCATCAGCACCAACCTCCCCATACTTCTAATCACGTGATATCGAGCAAGTCATCTCCGGACTGAAAGTTACTCAGGCCAATCCAGAAGCGCCCTCATAAAAGCGGCAGCTAAGAGGTCCCCACCCGACAGAAGAAATTCACGAAGTACTCCGTCCGTATGGAGTAGGCAGCGACATACAAATGTGGACCTGGAAATCTGAAATCTAAATTTGATTCATCATTAGCGAGGGACAAGGCAGACGAAATACTTACGCAATGCCCAGGAGAGTAGAGTAGTTACAACATACATTATATTAAGTTGATATTGAAAGTTACCATTGTAGTCTGTAGTCCGTACGTGGCGGTCCACTGTATGCGGCACACTCCACAGCTGGGGGCAACCGTTCCTTTGGCGCAGTGTAATACTTAATATTGGCATTATCCCGACTTTTGTCTTCTGCTAATAATAAGACCAAGGGCCAAGGACCCGCCTGATTCCGCCACGATCCATCAACCGCTTTCAGTAACTAGCGTTAGTACGCGTATACCGAAAGAGAAGAGGTTGGTTTCTTTGATCGGAGAATCGAGAATAAGATGCATATAAATAGTGTTAGTGGAGTGAAACAATAAAGGGCAGAAGGGGAGGACACTAAGTGAAACATAGAGAAACATAAAGAGGAAGCCTTGAAAGTGGCATGAAGGGGGGTGACAGTGGGTGGACATACGAAACAAACTCAAACAACAATACCCACCAATACCACACTGTGATTGGCTGTCCGATAGCCGCCCCTGTGGTGGTACAATACCATACCACATACCTTGTCAGTGGAATGGGCGACGACCTCGAATGTCTTTCAAATGTTCCCACGGACCCTTGTCGACTGTCCCTGAGTGAACAACCCGTGGACTCTTCCCTCTCACCCTCATTCTCTCATTGTCTCTCTTTTTTTCTTCTTCTTCTCTTCTGAAATCTAGGGACCGTTTGTCTTCACTACAAACCACTTTCTACCATTTCAAGCCTATTACTCCTTTACTCCTTTTTTTGGCCATACTGTGTATCGCCAGTCCACTCACTCTCGACCACTTCGCCTTTTCGCCCTACTCGGCCGTACTCTCATTCAGGCTATACACTCTCGTTGATCTACCAATACAGCTTCTTTCGATTCCATCAACCCCTTTACAACTACTTCTACGCCCCGCTTATATTCAAATGCCCCAGTGAAAGGCAAAACACCTGGATTCAACCCTGGCTTTCCGACAATTTGCGCCAAAACATACAGCACAGCCTCAGTCTGCAAGGAGACATCGAGGAATAATTCGACCCCACGGCTATCCAACAATAGTCCGCCGTACCAAAATTTCCGCATCCGGCGGCTGGCAACGTGGTACTCTGGAGTGCCATTGACACGGTACCTGTCAGATTTCCTCTCGCCCTGGTATACCACTGGCAACCTATCCAGTGCTTCACCTCTTCCTTATATCGAATATACACCAACATGCGGGTAATATCACTTCTCACCTGCTTCGTCGCCTTTCTGGCGCCGCTAGCCTCTGCCGTCCAACTCCTTGAATCCAATGCACTCAGCGTGTGCATGGAAAGTAGCAACTTCACGGCAACATATTTCAGCGTCATCTTCTACCCAGGAAACAACTCCCTCGTGGTCGGCTTCGATGGCGTCTCATACATCGAGGGTAAGGTTATTGCGGAGATGACCTTTACCGCATATGGCTACCAGGCATATCAGAGCACCCTTAATCCTTGTAAAATTAGTGGCATGGGTATGTGTCCCATGTCCGCTGGACCCATGGATTTGGGTCCGCTTTCTCTCGACCTCCCAGCAGGCACTTCAGCCAATATCCCTGGTATTGCCTTCAGCGTGCCTGATCTCGACGCAAAAGTGCGGATTGTCATCAGGACAGCTGACACCGAAGAAGAGATTGCTTGTGTCGAGGCCTCGCTTTCCAACGGCAAGACCGTTAATCAATCCGGAGTCTCGTGGACAACTGCTGTTATCTCCGGGTTAGGTCTCGCTGCATCCGCTATCACCTCCGGCCTAGGTCATTCCAACACTGCAGCTCACGTTGCGGCAAATGCGCTTTCTCTTTTCGGATTCATGCAGTCTCAAGCAATAATTGGCATGACCTCCGTTCATATGCCCCCGATCGTGGAAGCTTGGACCCAGAACTTCCAATGGAGCATGGGCATCATCCGCGTGGGATTCATCCAGACGATTGCTACCTGGTATCAGCGGTCAACCGGTGGAACTCCATCGACAGTTCTGTCACAGCTTGGGGATACTTCTGTGGAAGTCCTCAGGCGCCGTAAGCGTGCCTTGGTTGACCCGGCCATGAACCTCATGAGGAGAGCCGTGGGACCAATGATAGTTAAGCGAGGAAGTGGTATAGTCAAGAGAGCCGAGACAAGCCAGAAACTTCTTGTCATCCGAGGAATTGATCGTGTTGGATTCCGTGCGGACATGGAGGATACCAACATTTTCCTCACTGGCCTTATTTTCTTTGCGGTCTTTACCTGCATCGTCGTCATCATCGTTGCACTCTTCAAGGGAATTACTGAGTTACTTGTCAAGCATGGCAAAATGAAGAGCGACCGGTTCCAGGACTTCCGCAATGGGTGGAAGATCGTACTGCGTGGTATCTTGTTCCGACTGACTCTCATCGGGTTTCCCCAGATGTCTATCCTTTGCCTCTGGGAGTTCACTCAGCGTGATTCGCCGGCCGAGATTGTTTTGGCAGCGGTCATGCTCCTTTCTATGCTCGTCTCTCTTGGTTGGGCCTCTCAGAAGGTCATCCGTTTGGCAAAGCGTTCAGTTACCATGCACAAGAACCCGGCATATATTCTTTACTCCGACCCAACCTGTCTGAACAAGTGGGGCTTTTTGTATGTGCAGTACCGAGCAACGGCATACTACTTTGTCGTTCCGTTCCTCGTCTACACCTTGATCAAGGGTATGTTCATCGGCCTGAGCCAGGAAGCACCGGTCGTTCAGACAGTCGCTTTGGTGGTCCTTGAGCTAGGCATGCTTGTTGCGGTCTGCATTCTCCGTCCTTGGATGGATAAGAAGACCAACGTTTTCAACATCTCCATTGCGGTGATCAATTTTATCAACTCCATCTTCCTGCTCGTGTTCTCGGATGTGTTCGACCCCCCTGGAATGATGATCGGTGTCATGGGTGTCATCTTCTTCGTTTACAATGCCGTGTTTTCTTTGGTCCTCTTGATCTTGGTCCTGCTCGCCTCGATATATGCCGTTGTGTCGAAGAATCCCGACACTCGTTACCAGCCCATGCGCGACGATCGTGGCTCGTTCATCAAGTCCCAAACCCAGCTCACCACTGAATTGGATGCCTTGGGTGCTACTGCGCGTGGTGATATGAAGCCTGGACAATATAATAATAACAACCCATTCGACGACGATAGCGCTTCTATCTCTAGTGGAAACGGTGCTACCGTCGGCCGCCCAATGGAATCGACCTACTCCCTGCACGGGTCTGCCGTCCAAGCGCCTCGGTCCCCCGTTGACCCATCCGTGCCACTGTTCCCCAGTAACGCGTCAGGTCATCACAATCCTCCCCCCGGATACGACCATTACGGCCGGTCCCCTTCACCCGCGCCAAGGAGCTTTGATAACACCTCTCCTGTTGGCCAATCTGCTTTGTCGACGACATATCGAGCCCAGAACAGTGCCAGTCCTTGGCAACGAGGTGCTGGCTATGATCATTAAAAAATGCCATTGGTCTCTTATTTTGTCGCTTCCGAGATGAAGATATGTGATTTTGTTTTAGCGCGGGATACCGATGGTCTATGATTTTTCCATTCGCCATTCCTCTGGGTTCGGGTTTCTTTTCTCTTCTTCTTTTTTTGCTTCTGCGCAACGTCTGCAGCATCCTCGTCGCTCAGATAAACTTCTTTTCTTAATCCACTCCATTTCTTAATGGTTGTGCGCCTTTTTTTGTCATCTATTCCTTCCTTTCCCTTTACTTCTTCTCCTCGCTTCTTTTCTCCTTCTCTCTCTCCCTAAATCCTTTTGCCGTGTCTTTCCCTTGTTTTCACTTCCGCTGGGCGTTCTTTGATGCATTTGGGTATGGTGATTGGCCTTGGGGGTTCTCGTTTCTTTTTGTTGGCTTTGCACTATGTCTGCTGCCGATGAAATATATTCCAATTTCTCCGGTCGTCACCTGGGCAGCATCTCTCACTTTATACACCAGTATTCTGGAGATAATCCTAGTGTAAATATGAAACCGATGTCTACATGGATGTGGATATCGAAGTTTTTCTTTTGCAAGTTCCAGGGTCTTGGATATCGTAAAGAACTCAGACGCCATGTCTTTCGAAATCGACTAGAAACCAAGTGACAATTTTGTACGAAACACAACGTACGAACAGTAAAGAGACGTAAAAAAGAAACCGCTATTTTACACTAACAGTAAAGAGCAAAAAGACCCATGAGATGTCATGCCATGCCGACGACCCGCACGGAAAAAAAAGGTATCAGAAACAATCCACGTGCGAATCAACCCCAAGATCGTGATCATGATCGTAATCACCACCGCTGATCCATCCCACCAGGAGGTCCACCTCCAGGGGGAGGAGGATATCCCTCCAAGCCACGGGGGCCGGTAGGAATAGGCGACGGACCACCCGGCGCCATACCGTGCTGACCAGGGATAGGTGGGAAGCCAGCAACGCCGGGCGGGGGGATGGGGAAGTTCGGGAAGCCACCAGGGGGCGGGATCGGGAAGTTTGCGCCCTGGGGCATGTTGGGGAGAGGCGGGGGGGAAGCCGCCTGTTGGCGGGGTTCCGGTGGCGTTAGGGAAGGGCGGCGGGAAGGGAAGGCCGTGGGCTGGGTAAGAGGCATATTCATTAGCTTGGTACGATCCTGGGTAGGCTGGATATCCTTGGCTGGGGTTCTCGGGGATCCAGAGTGGGGGTGGGTGTGGAAGTGGGTGCGACATACGAGGGAGCATGCCTGGGGCGCCGGGGGCGCCTGGTGGAGGGATACCGAAGGGAGGAGGGGGCATGCCTGGTTGTCCTAGTGGCGTTAGCTTGGTTTCGGTTTCGGGTTGGTGTTTGGAGTCCCGGGAGGGAGAGCCATAGTCATACCAGGGAATCCGAAGGGAGGAGGGAAAGCGCTGGGGGCCATCATGTTGGGGGCTTGTTGGCCCTCTGCGGCGTAGGAGGAGGTAATGGAGTCGATGACGGACTGGGCCTTTTCTTGGCCGATCTCTGTAGGTGTTCACATGATTAGCTATTATTCAGTTGTTGGGTTGGGCGCCTTGCTGCGCCATCGGTCAGACGTACGTTGGTAGTAGTCTACCACGTTTCTCAGGTGGTTTCGACCGGAGTTATGCGCCTTGCGCACGCTCATCGAGTCGTGTGTCAGGTAGACATCACAGTAGTCGCCTAGAAGTTGAAGTGAGGAGTCAGCAATATGTCGATGGATGGGCTCAGCCGGCCGCAGTGAGGCGCATAGCCTCGTGTCGCATCATGCCCGGAATAGGCTATGACACGGCTTGGTCTGTCTACATGTGGATTTGCGGCAAAACCTACAGAAGAGTGCATGGGACGTTAGCTTTCAGTTGCAAAGATAGAGACCAAAGGGTACTTATATTTGGGCATATTGCCGGTTCTGCAGCAAGTACCTTGCTGTCGTCGCGCGAAAGAGGAAAATTCCCTTTCGGGATGGGTCTCGTTCAGAGACGGAGATCTTGGCTAGCAAAAACTGTCCTGATTTGCAATAGCGTGGTTTGAGGTAGAATCTCGGAAGTCAAACCTCGGTGACGCAAATAAGAGAGAAATTGAGATAGTAGGATCGGCAAGTTGTTAGGAGCTCGATGGTGAGGGTTGTCGGGCGGTCTGCAGTGGCAAAATAGTGGCTTATCGGCTCTCCAACAACTTTGACAAGACAGCGCACCTCTCGGTAAGGGAGTGAATTCTGATCGAAATAATGATGTCAATTCCAACTTGCTAGTACAGTTGTTCCATCAAGTCCATATCAGCACTTGAAATTGAGGCAGAAATCCCCTTCGGCGAAAAATATACGATATTCATTCACTCATTACTACACTTGCACATTCTGCTACTCCGGGCATGGCAATGAACCCTCCAGTCTAGGACCGTGTCTAAGTTGAAATATTAAACAATACCATGAACAGTCAAGATATGACACTTCTGCTTTCTAATGCCAGCCTTGATGCCATACTTGCGCACACCTGGCCAGACTGATGGCTTTACAGTCGGTTGTCGTAAGTGAAGAGATTGGATTGTATTGAACTGATTTACATCCCAGATCAATCTTCAAACCCAGAGTAGTAGCTTAAACCAACTATCCTCGAGAGAGCCGGTTCACATATCCCACTTGCTTGCGACAGCCGGGGACAAGACGCCATTGACAACTCCCCCCTGTCCTCTCAGATTCAAAACCTGCTCACCCTCTTCATGCTCAATTTCAAGTTTTCCGTTATCCGCGCTCCGAGCGAATTCCACGATCATTTGGAGCAAGCTGGCAAACTTGCCCAAAGCCGGTTGCTGGGTCTCCTCCCACTGCTTCACATCATCCCGCACGTCGCGAACCTGAACATGCCTGAATCGACCAGCTGTATGGTGGGCTAGAATGAAGTTGGGAGTCCGCGAAATCCACAACCGGGGCAGTTCTTCCTCAATAACGACACTGCCCTTTTTAGCGCGAGACCGAGTCTTCAGGTCAAAGACTGCACACTGTGGAATGCGCCGGCCTTGTCTTGCAATGTCAAGCTGCTTCGGTTCCATTTCTGTAATGGCCGAGGGGACACCTGAAATTGTCACTTTTTCGATGGACAGCAAAGCTTCTGGGTCGATACTATCCTTCGGGGTAACAGGATGTTCTTCGATTTCGTTATCCAGGACCAGGTCGGGCAAAAAGCCGTCCCCTTCAAAACGTACCAAGCACTGCATGCCGGCAAAATCATACTTCATCACCCGTTGGTGGGACAGGGACCCGCCCACACTTGCATTCCACGTGGTGTATGCTTCCGGGAAAGTATGCCCATAACCGTGGATATCGGGAAACACCTCAGTGGGCGAATTTTCCCTTCTGATGAAGAATACTGTCTTGCCGAGTACCTCAACTAGCATCCTAAAGGGCTTACCCTGCCCAGATGCAAAGCGTCGCAGGTTCCCCATTGTACTGTTGCACCCAATGATGTCCACACTGGTAATGGGGAACTCAGGGTTGTCTGTGAGTATTGCTTGTACCATTGGCTCCAGAGGATAGGTGGGGTATTGTGCGGCATTTCGATCACGATAATAATGACCACTGTCTTGTGAAAGTGCGGGAGAATCGGACAGAGGCGTCCACTTTGGTGGTTCACCTAGGAATATGTCAGTTAACACAAAGGTGATGAACAGTGCCTTGGTTATCGGACATTATCCTCTTACCTGGAACGATTATCTTTCTCTTTTCCCCACCAAGCCAGTTGTAGGATGTCAGATATTGACTGTTCGTGATTCGAGATATGTCTTCATCTTGATCAGGTGCCGGACTCTCGATTTCATTGAGGTAGATTGTGACAATGATATCTCCTAGCGGAGGTGCTGGTGAACTGGTCTGGGTTACATATGCTCCTCCTCTTCCTCTCCATTGTCCTCGTCCTCGTCCTCTTCCTCTTCCTCTTCCTTGTGGAGACATCGTGGTAGACTCTAATGGTCAGGAAGCAGCACGACGAAGTATGTGTATGTAGGCAGAAGAACAATCAACGACAGATACAAAAAAAGCCTTAGGTACTTTTTGTTTGTTGTCTCACGTTATGCTGCGGGGGCATAGACCCCTGTCGCCACGTCACATACTGTGCTTCATGCATTGGTCTATTCCTGCGCATTCTTGCGTTTGTTGGGTTTTGCTGCACATAGCCCAACTGCGCATTATCAGCTAAAAGCCTACAAGGCAGACTGCATCTGCATTAGTCTAACTGTGCTCTGCTTTGTTGGCAATGCGGAATCTAAACTGTTTCTTATCTCTCGACTCTGATATCTTTCTACACCTTTTATTCTATCTGTCTCTGCCACTTTGATCTTGTAATCTATGTTAAGTCTCATTCGCTATCATGTCTAAAAATATTCGATCGGAGCGACTGGCCAAATATTTTAAAGAGGTTGTCCAGGGAAAGCATGAAGTCCAGGATCAGAACAGTTTCAAGCGATTTATTGAAGCAACCCTGGACCAGGGTGACCCCAGCATTGTCGTTCAGCGAATCATCTCAAGCCAAAGCGCTCTGAATGCCTTGCGAAATGGACTGAGGTTTAACCTAACCCCGACCTTCATCAACGGGTACACCGCGAAGTTTATTCAATACCTGAACCACCGCGAAGTCAAGCTCCTCTGCAACGGCCAATTTCTCGAGCAGCTTCTTCTGATTATCTTGGAGCCGCGCACCCTCTGGGGTGCATTTCTGGAGGCGTTCCGTACTCGCAAACTGGAGGATCATGCGATCCAGGCTTTATGCTGGTTGATGGCGGAGTTGCTTTCGTTGCCTCCCTCTTGTAGGGTAGACGTTAGAGCTGATGCTCAGGCTGTTTTGAACGATGGATCGCTTTTCTCTTCCCCCTCGGTTGACATACGAAACTCGGGCCACAAGATTAGATACCTTCTGGAGATGAAATCACATGCAACCACCGTCCAAGACTCTGAGATCACTGCAGGTGGTCGGCACGATAATGATTTTGCTGATTTTCGCTTGACGGCCATTCTTCCTACGGCCGATGAGATGGGATGTACGGAGAAACCCTTTTATCGCCGTGCTGAAGACATCGCACAGCTGTCCAGTGGCCAACGCATTGCCGGTCATGTTGACAATCAGTTTCGCCTTTTGCGAGAAGATATGCTCTCGGAGCTCCGCGAAGACTTGCAAATTGCAACAGGCGCAAAGAAGGGGCGACGCTCGGCTTTCCACTTGAGAAATCTCAATCTTTCTCATGTCCGCTGCACTGCTAGAACCCCAAACCACCTTCGACCATGTACGATCGGCGTGACTGCCCAATATGGCCTTGAAAAGCTCAAGAACCTCTCAAAGGATGATCGCAAAGCCTTCTTAAACAACACGCCTCAGTTTGTGAAGCATCGTGCTTTTGGTTGCTTGATTAGGGACACAGAGATCGTGGCTTTTGCCACAATCGAACGAGAAATTGATGAACTGTTATTCAAAATGCCAGTTGTTATGCTGCGTATTACAGGTGAAGAAGCCCTCAAAAAGTCACTACTTTACCTGAAACTCTACAATGACGTGGAGTTCCTGCTTGTTGACACAGCAATGTTTGCATACGAGCCAATTTTGAAGGGCTTGCAGGAGAGGATTGAGTTGCCTCTCACAGAGGAGTTGTTCCTTTACGAAAAAGGCCAGCCGGTGCAGGATTCAAGCCTAGTTCCTCGGAATTTGGTCAATATGCTAAAGGAAGAATACGGATGTAATATCCAGCGCACCCTTAAAACCTCGATGTCAGTGACACTAGACTCTTCACAGTTAGATTCTCTGTTGGCTGGGTTGACACAGAGAGTGAGTCTTATTCAAGGACCCCCAGGTAAGATCATGCGGATCGTCTCATTATCCTCCCACTATCATCTCAGTATCCTCTCATGATATTCTCATTTCTATAACCAAGGACATTAAACTGACAGTATGAGCTCCAGGTACCGGCAAGTCGTTCATAGGTGCTCTTCTCGCAAAGGCCCTGCATGATAACGCTAAAGACAAAATCCTGGTTATGTGCTACACAAATCATGCCTTGGATCAGTTCTTGGAAGACTTACTAGACGTTGGTATCAATCCCTCTGCTATCGTAAGACTCGGGTCCAAGTCTTCACAACGCACCGAGCCGCTTGGGTTGTTTAAGCAGCACTCGTCCTACAATAGGGATCAAACCACCTGGAACACAATCCATTCACTCGAAGCGGTCGCAAATGAACAAAAGGACAATTTGAATGACTCCTTCCAAGCCTACAAGAATCTCACAGCTAATGCTGCATCTATCTTGGACTATCTGGAGTTTGAAGAACCAGAATACTTTGCAGCTCTGACCGTACCGGAGCCGGGGGAACCAAACAGCATGGCCGTGGTCGATAAGAGTGGAAAAACAATCAGGAAAGACTACCTTTATCACCGATGGATCCGCAACCAGGACGCAGGGGTATGTTCTGATCTTCTTCCCGCTCATTGTCAGGACATCTGGGCACTCGATCAGAAAATACGGGACGAGAAAAACAGCTCTTGGAAGAGAGCTCTGCTGAGGGAACAGGCGGAGTCTTTGGGCGTCAGCATAGCATTGTTCAACAAAAGCCAAAGCCAACTGAGCGCTACCCTGGGTGAGAAAAACCGGAAAATCTTGAAATCAAAGCGAATCATCGGCTGTACCACTACAGCGGCGGCAATGTATTCCGAGGACATTCGACATGCTTCCCCTGGCATCGTGCTTCTTGAAGAAGCGGGTGAGATCCTTGAGTCGCATGTGCTCACCGCAATGACACCGGAGACCAAGCATTTGATCTTGATAGGAGATCATCAGCAGCTACGACCAAAAGTCAACAGCTACAGTTTGAGCACAGAGAAAGGCGATGGCTATGACCTGAACGTCTCCCTTTTCGAAAGACTCATACATGCCGGATTTCCACATACGACACTGGTCAAGCAACATAGAATGTGTCCCGAGATCTCAAGTCTTGTACGCAACCTCACCTATCCTGGGCTGGAAGACGATAAAAAGACCAAGAATCGTCCTCAGCCACGAGGTCTGTGCGACAGAGTGATATTTTTCCATCATCAAAACCCGGAAGACATTTTTGTCCAGGTCTCTGACCGGGACGATGAGAATTCAAAGCAAAGTAAGACAAATGTATTCGAGGCAGAGATCGTCCTCAAGATCGTGAAGTATCTCGGACAGCAGGGATATGGAACAGACAAGCTGGTCGTGTTGACTCCATATTTGGGTCAGCTGAGTCTACTGAGACAGACTCTAAGCAAACAGAACGACCCAGTTCTGAATGACCTCGACTCCCACAACCTTGTCAAAGCAGGCCTTCTGTCGCAGGCTGGTGCCTCCCATTCGAAGCGTCCAATCAAGCTGTCTACAATTGGTAAGTATGGAGAAGTAATTAGGTGCAAGCAAAGTCTGACCTGAGAAAATAGACAACTTCCAAGGAGAAGAGAGTGAGATAGTCATAGCGTCACTCACCCGCAGCAATCAAGTTGGCGACATAGGATTCATGGCAGCCCCCGAGCGCCTCAACGTCCTCCTTTCCCGAGCGCGAAATGTCCTCATTCTGGTTGGAAACTCGGAAACATTCGTCTCTAGTCGGAAGGGCCAAAAGCACTGGAAGCCGCTAATCGACCAACTGAAGTCAGAGGGGCATCTATACGATGGACTGCCCGTCCAATGCGAAAAGCATCCGCAGACAAATTCTATTCTCCGAACAGCGGAGGACTTCGATAGAGAATGCCCAGACGGAGGATGCTCTGCCCCTTGGTAGGTTTACCAGAACTTTTGCTGATATCTTAATACTGACTTTCCCATAGCGGCGTGAAACTGAGTTGCGGAGTACACGAGTGCCCCTCAAAATGTCACCAGCTTCTGGATCACTCAAAAATGAAGTGCACAAAAATGGTTAAATGGAAGTGTTCCCGCGGTCATTCCTTGTCTCTGTCCTGTTCCCAGGCCAAGGGCTCATGTCGTTTCTGCATCCAAGAAGATCAGGTAAAAGAGCGCAAGCGCCAACGCGATATCAGACTAGAGATAGAACGGCAAAGAAAACAGAACGAGTACGCCCGGCAGCTTGCAGAGGCTCAGGAGGAGGCTTCTCATCTCAAGCGTGTGCGACGCGATGAATTCGATGATATGGAGCGAGCGAAGGTCCTTGAACAATACCGCCAGGAAATTGAGGATTTGAAGAACCCTCCGCGCCCTGTATCTCCTCAGCGGAAATTGAGCTCTGGGGCCATTCCCAGCACGCCCCCAACTATCACGGAAGCAAGCTCGGATTTCAGTGCCACAGGCACTCAAAGCCGTAGTGTGCAGCCTCCAAGTCGACAAGTCATGCCATCACAAAAGATGTCCGCGGCTCAAGCAGACTGGAAGTATCAAAAGAAGTTCCTCAACGCTCAAAGCCAGGAGATCGACAAGTTAATCGACATGATCGGACTTGAATCAGTGAAGACAAAGTTCTTGTCGATCAAAGCTAAAGTGGACGTCGCAATTAGACAGAACATTGATATGAGCCACGATCGATTCGGATCTGTATTGCTCGGGAATCCCGGTAGCGGGAAAACAACCGTTGCGCGTCTATACGCGAAGTTCCTATCGTCCATGGGGATCATTCCCGGCGACAAATTCATCGAGACAACCGGGTCCAGACTCGCGAACGATGGTGTCTCGGGATGCCAAAAAATCATCGAAACCCTCCTGAAAGACGGCGGCGGGGCCATCTTCATTGATGAAGCGTATCAGCTCGTCGGCAGCAGTTTTAGCGGCACCCAGGTTCTAGACTTCCTCTTAGCTGAGGTTGAAAACCTCACTGGAAAGGTGGTCTTCATTCTTGCGGGATATCAACGACCGATGGAGAAGTTCTTCGCGCACAATCCCGGGCTTCCTAGTCGTTTCCCAAATGAGCTCAAGTTTGATGATTTCGACGACGCTGAGTTGATGCAGATTTTGGTCGGGTGCATCGAAAAGACATACAAAAAGCAGATGAAGGTCGAGGATAACCTTGGCGGACTTTACTGTCGCATTGTAGCTCGTCGGGTTGGGAGCGGACGTGGTCGTGAGGGATTCGCCAATGCAAGAGCCGTTGAGAATGCCATGGCCAAGATTTCCGAACGGCAGGCTGCACGGCTCAGCCGGGAAACACGACAGGGTGCGAGCAAGGTTGATGATTTCTTCCTGAGCAAGGAAGACATGATCGGGCCAGATCCATCGCAGGCTTTGAAATCATCCAATGCTTGGCAAAAGCTGCAGACTATGATTGGTTTGGACTCTGTGAAGAAGACGGTGGAGGCCATACTAGACACCATGCGATACAACTACCAGCGTGAGCTGGATGAGAAGCCCCTGGTTGAGTACAGTCTCAACAAAGTTTTCTTGGGAAATCCCGGAACGGGGAAAACCTCTATCGCAAAGATCTACGGTCAGATACTTGTGGATATCGGGTTTTTGTCCAATGGCGAAGGTATGTGAGCTCCTCGGCTGTCTATGAGATTTACTGACAATCGCAGTGGTGGTAAAGAACCCGTCAGACTTCGTTGGCAGTGTGATTGGAGAGTCCGAAAAGAACACCAAAGGGATACTTGCATCTACATTGGGAAAGGTTCTAGTCATCGACGAGGCCTATGGACTGTTCTCTGGAGGTACCTCGGATGGGACAGGTTCCAACAGTGACCCATACCGAGCTGCCGTGATAGACACCATCGTGGCAGAAGTGCAAAGCACACCTGGTGACGATAGGTGCGTCTTGCTTCTAGGTTACAAGGATCTTATGGAAGAGATGTTTCAAAAGGTCAACCCTGGCCTCACCCGACGTTTTCCAATTGACCAGGCATTTGTCTTCGAGGACTTCACCTCGAGTGAGCTGGATGCGATTTTGGACCTCAAGCTCAAAGAGCAAGGGTTTGGAATAACTGATCGTGGCCGCTGTGTGGTATTGGAGATGCTCGAGCGTTCTCGGAATCGGCCGCATTTTGGAAATGCAGGCGAGATTGATATTCTCCTCAACGCCGCCAAGATGCGGTATCAAAAGCGCCTCTCTTCCATCAAACGCCCCGGTTCTGTTCCGGATTCTGTGCTTGATGCTTCTGACTTTGACGAAGACTTTGATCGCGCGGATAAGAAGGAAAGTGTTGCGAAGATGTTCGAAGGCGTCATAGGATGTGAAAGTATCGTTGCCAAACTGGAAGGCTATCGGCAAATGGTTCAGAGCCTCAGACGACTGGACTTGGATCCGAGCACGCAGTTGCCGTTTAACTTTGTTTTCCGTGGTCCTCCAGGTATACACCTCTCTGCTCAGTCTTTGTCCGCCGAATATTGCTGACATTTAAATCCTAGGTACCGGAAAAACGAGCACAGCTAGAAAGATGGGGCAAGTCTACTATGACATGGGCTTGTTAGCTTCGAGTGAAGTGGTCGAAACCTCAGCGACGGACTTGGTGGGTCAATATATAGGCCATACAGGCCCGAAGACTCAGCAAGTCCTCGAACGTGGCCTTGGAAAAGTCTTGTTCATTGACGAAGCCTATCGGCTCGCTGAGGGACATTTCGCCAAAGAGGCCATGGATGAGATTGTGGATGCCATTACCAAGCCCAAGTTTGCTCAAAAGCTGATCATCATTCTGGCCGGTTATGATGGAGACATCAACCGTCTCATGTCAATCAATCCGGGGCTCACCAGTCGCTTCCCAGAGTCTCTTCAATTTGACCCATTGTCCTCAGCAGACTGTGTCAACTTAGTTTACGAGCTCTTGTTAAAAGAAAAAAGAGACCTCCTCAACAGATCACAGGCTCAGTTCGATCTAGTCTGCTTGGAGAGTCTAGATTTCGACTTTATGAAGGGAATGTCGCAGCGCTTTGATAGACTTGCGAAATCTGCAGGCTGGGCAAATGCACGAGACGTTGGAACGCTTACGAAGACAATCTTTGGCAAAACTCTTCTGTCATCTAGTGGGAAGAAGCTGGTGCTGAGCGAAGACACGGTGCTCGAAGCCCTCGACTCAATGATCAATGAGCGATCCAGCCGGGAAGTCTATCCGCAAAACGGTCTATCAACTGCGATCAAAGCGGCAGAGCAAACAGACCTGGCTGTACGCACTCAACCTTTGAGTAAGCCTGTCACCAAGCTGGACAATCAAAGCTCGGTCTCCGAGAATGAGGCCTCCAAGGAACCAGACATGACAGAGCCCAAGACAGAGAATTCCATTGCCACCGCAAAGCGAGATGCCGATGTTACAGACGAAGTGTGGCATCAACTCGAAAAGGACAAGGCTCTAGCAGAAGCCAAAGAGAAAGAGTACTTGCGTTTGAAAGAGGAATATGATAAGCAGAAGCAGGAGATATTGAAATTGAAGGCGGAGGAGGAAAAGGCCGCGCGGGAGCTGGAGGAGGCCAAAAGGAAAGCAGACGAAGATGCCAAAAGACTCCTCGAACAAGCCCGACTCAAGCTTGAGATGGAACGCAGGAGGCAGGAAGAGATCTTGGAGAAACTCCGCAAGCAGCAAGAGGCTTTGGCCGAGGCTCGCCGCAAGGAACAAGCTAATCAGATGAAGCTGAGGACCATGGGAGTCTGTGTTGCTGGCTATAAATGGCTTAAACAAAGTGGCGGTTACCGATGTGCTGGTGGTTCTCACTGGGTGTCAGATGCTGCGCTTGGAAGTTCCTGAGGTTGGGATATTGCATTGAGAATAGAATGTCATTAACATCTAATGAAGTCAGGTAGATCGCTATTCATATTTGTTTGCTCTTTAGCAAATTGGAAAGACTCTTCAGGAAGTGCACCTACAGTAGACATCGCGACAACGTATAGTTCACAACGCATCAAACGCTTACGTCGTCACACATTCACATTGCCATAAATTTCACACGACCTGTCGCATTACCTTAGTCCTTTCTTCATTCCATCAACCAATTCCCTAAACCAAGTTCCCAAATCACGTTTCTTCAAATGGCAACCGCCACAATGAACATTGATCAACTTGCCAACGGGATGAAGATCCTCACGGTGAACACCGAGCTGCTGATCTCCCTCATCAACGGCGACCTCGTAGCCAGCCCGATCGGCGCCTCCACCCTGCGCATGTCAGTGCGGCTCACCGAGCTCCCTGCCTATGTCACAAACCCAACCTTCGTCTTCGAAGACCCCAAGGCATTCGAGGTCTACCTCGCCAGCACCGCACCGAACGCAACCGCGACCAAGCTCCGCCTCGCCCCCCTGCACCGGTTCATCGGCAGACGATTCCCCGAGCTGAGCCTCCGCGGCCTGTCCGGCGACGGATACTGCCGCCTGTCTCGCAACGAGCCGATCGAGGTCCGCGAGTTCTTCATGGCACTGCCGTTCCCGTACCCGAGCATGGACGGCGTCTTCATCGACTACGTCACCCACCCCGAGGGCTTGGAGTTCATCACCCTCAACTCGGATTGGAGGGCTGCTTGTCGCGCTGTCCCGGTGGGACACAACGTGCAGGAGGTCATCATTGATCTCACCGGCGCGGAGAGACTCAATTCGAGCTACGTCTCGCGTTTGGTGCAGTTTGTGACTACCATTCTCGCTATGAAGGCCAAGGGCTCGTTCTCCAGTCGTCTTCGTGCCGATGAGCCCTACCAGTGGATGCAGTGTGTCGCGGGCGCTATGGTTAGCAAGGTGGTTCCTGGCAGTGCGGCTCGTGACGACATCCGATCTTAAGTGTCCGGATTTGGCAAGACGGGTGATGAGCCTGCTTGCTAGGTTGGCTCACAGGAACTGAGAATTGGAACTGGGCATGTCTCCGTTGGGATTTTGTCTTTCCAAGGGATATTTCATGATCGTTGGAGCTTGGTGGAGATACTGGAATGGAAATAAGCTTATCAAGACATCAAGACCTAGCCGGGTAAATTTCGGAGATTTACATTCTGCATAATTCACCGATGACTAAATTCGTAAAAGTATTCCCCTCCAAGTCCATTGCCCCTCAATCCCTCTATCATTCACCTCTAAACAATCATGGTTTACACAATCGTCGTCCGTATGTGATACCCCTCGTGTTGCTATTCCCAATGCTGACAGTCATAGACCTCCGTGCCAAGCCGGACGAAGAGTCCATCTCCAAGCTCAAGGCCAAGCTCGTTGAAGCTTCCAACGTCTACTCGAACGACAAGGAAACCCTCTCCTGGTTTGTGTCGCAGTCCGTCTTCGACAAGCAGGATTTCACCATCGTCGAGCGCTACGCCCAGGAATCGTCGCAGCAGTACCACCTCAACAACCCTTACTGGAAGACTTTCGACCCCTACGTCATTCCTCTGTTGGAGAAGGATATGGATATGCACCGCTTGGAGGAGTTGGAGGGCTCTAAGATGTAAATTAGAAGAGAACTACTGTACACACACCCTCAAACCGACATTTGCCTATCTACACACCCGTTCAATTTGGCTAGCATTTTTGGCTGAATATATATAATTCGATCTGGTAACCTTGGAGCTATCCTTAATGACATAACCATCATATGACCTTTTCTACCCTTAGTTTTGGAACTGCTAAGAAATTAGTCATAGATGATAGATGTCGGCTAATTCTACAACAATGCCAGTCAAAGAAATAAGAGACGGTTCGAGAAGGAGTCTAGGTGCCGGCCGATCATATTCCCCCCACATCAACCCAACATAGACCGCTGTCTCAGCCGTAAACCAACGGAGTTAACCGATTCTAGACGGCCTCAAGGCGTAGACGATACTGAGGGCCGATACAATTAGCTTCAGTAAGTTTTATTCCGACAAGTTGCGCGTCAAAACATGGTAGGAATGGCGAACGTGGCCCGTGCCTTAATATCGGTAGAAGCTATCAGCCCTGGAGGATTAAAACAGTTCCCGGACTCCTTAGCTCCCAGAGCTTTGACGTCGAATTGCTCTGTCCGGGGGATCTACAGCCCCAACGATGGCTATTGGCTCGGACTGCACGGTAGTGACATGGTCTCGTGAGACAGTACACTGTATAGTAGAGGCGATGACAACGGTCCGACAATGACCTTGAGAAGGTTTCCAATATAGTAAAATCTAAAGGTCGGTCTGTTAGCATTCTAGCATATAATTTACTAGCTTTATACTGACCTTTTAGTTATTTTTGACCCTATATCGATAAAGAATAAGACAGAATTAGTAGTTTTTACTAAATAAATAGCAGACGTAGTAGTAAATACTAGTTCCACCTACCTGGTTGCCCAATGGTACCATCAAAGATGTTATCTGCGGGTTTTGCGACGAGGAAAAAATTGATCATGTATGGTTTCAGACTACCATCCATGCCTGTGCTCTGGAGGAAGACCTGTCGCGGCCCTCATGCCGAACAGACTGTAGTTGGGAGTCGAGGAGTAACCCTTAGTGGCGGTCAAAAGCAGAGAGTAGTACGTTCAACTAGCTTCTATCCTACTCAACGTTTACCAACCACTAATTCTTTTTTTGTAGGCACTTGCTCGAGCGGTCTACGCTAGACGCAGTATTATTTTACTGGATGATGTTCTGAGTGCCCTGGATCAGAAGACCGAAATACTGGTCGTAAACCGCTTATTCGGCGAGCAAGGATTGCTTCGGCGGTTGCAGACTACCATCCTCCTGGTGACTCACTCCGGTATGTACCACAATCGGTCCTATAATTGAAGACGTAACTAATCATTTCCAGTGCGCCATCTCAACATCGCCGACCAGGTTATTGTTCTAACTCGGGAGGGAAAGGTCCGAGAGGTTTTGAGCGGCCAGGACATCCAGAAAAGCAAAACAGACATAGCGACCTCCGACTACGAGGAGGTCCTCGGTGCGGAGGACGTTGCCGGTGCACCCCAGCCATCCTCCAAACCACGGCCGAAAATAAAGGCGCCGGGACCAGATGACGCAGATCTAACACGCCAGACTGGTGATATGGCAGTCTATGCGTACTACTTCCGATCTTTTGGCTGGCCTCGGACATTTGGCTTCATAGCTTGTACCGCGTTGTTTACCTTTGCAACCACCTTCCAGCGTGAGTTCAGGTCGAACTGTTAGGATGAACCGACTCGGATGCTAACAGTATACAGAGATCTGGCTTCAATGGTGGACAAACGTGAATGGAGGTTCTATTGGAAAATATATGAGCGTCTATGTTGTCCTGGCTGTTGCCGCTATGCTTTCCCGCTGTCTAACCTTCTGGTATGTGTCGTGTTCGTGGCGAAATAGGGAAGTCGAGGTAAAAGTCTAACAATTGGTGCAGGTGGGCTCTGATCTGGATGTCGCCAATCTCCTCTCTCAATCTTCATCGAATCCTTCTGCGGGTTGCTGTTGGGTAAGGGCGTATGTCTTTCTTGAAGCTGACAACTGCTGATCTTGCATAGCGCGCCTTTATCTTTCTTTGCAAAAACCGATAGTGGTGTAATATTGAACCAGTAAGGCCTTTGAAAGTGGTAGATGATTCGATTCTGACATGACGCAGGTTCAGCCAGGACATCAGTTTGATTGACCGAGTATTACCTCTTTGTCTGATTCGCATGGTTGTCCGTAAGTGTCTCCAAAGTGGTATATGCATGGAGGTAGGCTAATCCAGAATACAGAGATTTTCCAAATCCTTTCCCAGACAGCACTTATCGCGATGGGCTCATCTTACATGTCCGTTTGTATTCCAATCTGTGCCGTCACCGTGTACTGGCTGCAGCGGTTCTACCTCCGCACGTCGCGCCAACTGCGATTCCTCGATCTCGAGTCCCGGAGCCCGCTGTACAGTCATTTCCTGGAGACCCTAGAGGGCCTGTCCACACTTCGTGCGTTTGGCTGGCAGGAGAAATTCCAGGAGACCAACACCAAGCTGCTGGACACCACCTAGAGGCCGTTCGACTTGATGTACTGCATCCAGTGCTGGCTCAACCTTGTTCTCGATCTCCTCGTTGCGGCAGTTGGTGTTGTAGTCATTGCCCTGGCGGTCTTACTGCCGCATATGACCAGTGCGGGCACTATCGGCCTGGCACTGAATAACGTTCTCGGATTCAACCAAGCTCTGGCTGTTTTGATTGACAGCTGGACACAATTAGAGACCTCGCTGGGAGCGATTGCGAGATTGAAGAATTTGGAGCAGACTGTCAAACCTGAGTATCAGGAAGGGGAAGATACTATTCCCCCGGACACATGGCCGGAGCATGGTGCTATTGAACTGAAGGATATTTCGGCTTCTTACGGGTAATGCTAGGCTTTATTGGTTACTATGGACGACGCTGGCCAGTACTTAGCCCCTCCATCCCAGCTCTGAAGAAGATCTCCATGTCTATACTGCCTGGCCAGAAAGTTGGCATCTGTGGGCGGACCGGAAGGTGGGTATCTCTTTCCCAGGAACCTCCTGTTTACTAACAATGGGTGATAATATAGCGGCAAGAGCTCACTTCTGCTATCCTTACTCCGTCTATTAGACCTTGACAGTGGAAGTATCGCGATTGACGGATACGACCTACAAACCCTGCCACGGGAGCTAATCCGCAGCCGTCTCGTCGCCATCCCGCAAGAGCCATTCTTCCTGAGCGAATCCGTTCGGATTAACGTCAACCCCAGTAACAAGTTATCCGACGAAGCCATTATCAACGCTCTCAAGAAAACAAAGGTTTGGGACGCTATCGAGAAGCGGGGTGGATTGGACGCACAGATCAAAGAGCAACCCCTGTCGCAAGGAGAGCAACAGCTGTTCTGTCTGGCTCGCACGATGCTACGCTCAGGGACGATTCTAATCCTCGACGAAGCAACAAGCAATGTCGACGCCGAGACGGATCAGGTCATGCAAGGGATCATTCGGGATGAGTTCCAGGACTACACGGTGCTTACCGTTGCTCATCGGTTGGATACGATTATGGATTCGGACGTGGTTGCGGTGTTGGACCGGGGGAGGTTGGCTGAGTATGGGCCTCCTCGGGATTTGCTGGCTCGGCCGTCTATGTTTGCGGACCTGGTGGGTAGGTCCAGTGTTGAGAGTACGGTCACTACCCCGTCGGTCTGACACAAATCGGTGGGAATAAAAAAAACTAAGACAGGTAGACTAAGTTTACAAAAGAAGGAATCCCTATTTTGGATTTGATCATTCCTCGGGTTTCATTTCTGGGCAATGTTGACTATGTCTAAGAGTAGCTTCATAAAACTAGCCGGCGGTATCATGTGACAGACCTTTACCCTGTGGCTGAGGGTGGCTCACGGTATTTGGTGGCTGTGAGATAAATACACGCCTTTACCCAATCGTTTAAAATGTGTGTAGCTAGTAACATGAGGATGTGTATTCTGTGTAGTAATTCTCTTCTCTTCTCCATAACATAGTTGTGTTCTATGTGAGGGGTAATGGAATGTTCCCCTGAAGATTATGAAGTCAGGCGCTAACCCTTTGGGAGATCGGCATATTATTCTAGGAACCTAACACCTGACAATCCTACTCCATACCACCGTGTCACGTCCAGACACGTATTCCAAGCCCCCACGAGATCGCGGAATCATTCCTCTGCATCCTACCCCTTAAGCGGGGGTTCCTCGGCATCCAGGGCTGGAAAGATCACGCTCCGAGACGCATGACTCGGTCCAACGCAGAAAAAGTTGGGGAAAGGAAAATCTGGGGAAATGCGAAACGCACAGACATCGAATCTTGGAAGGGCGGCGATTTGGTTCCTTGGCCGCTCGGATAATTCAGCCAATCATGTCGGAGGAAAGAGTTTTCTTTTTCTTTTTCTTTTTCAACGTCATTTTGATTCTGTCTGGGGAACGGCACTTTCCCTTTTCTGTCTCGGATTCCTCGGCTCAGCTGGACGACTGCCGAGGGGTTGGCCTGACACTATTCTTACGTGCACAGTGCGTGTGCAGTGCACAGGGTACTCGGTACTTACGGTGAGTCAATTATTGAAGACACCTCCTGGGCAGGTACCGTGCAAGCCTAGCCGACTAGACTTGGATCTACGGGGCCAAGGGAGAATATCCCGCAAATTTGCCAGCGCGATGGAGTCATCGTACAGGCGATCTACAATAGATGGGAAATTTAGCATAATTCTTCATCGGCAACATAAGTATTCATCTTTAACTATAGTTAATAACTATATTGTAGTTATAGTTAACTCCTAGTAGTATACGGAGTATATGCAGTATACATATATCAACTTGCGTTATATACCCTGTACAACCATCAGCTGGGCATGCATGCAGAAATAATAAATGTGTTGCACAAAGCCCCTGATGTTCTGAAATAGAAAGTGGACACGGGCTGGTAAATGATGCAATTGCTGGAGCAGAAAAATACCTTTTCTCTTGGTATGTATTTTATATTACATCGTGAGTATTGGTAATATTCAGTTTCAACCAGCTACTTCTACTAGCTACTACAATCCTCCATACTATACAATGTATACAATTATAAACGAATGCAATGTTGAATGTATACAGTTGTATCTGATGCCCAAATGGCGCAACACCTGACGTGATCGTGAAATGGCCCATCTGTTGCGGTGTGATTTCCAGAATAACGTGAGCTCGACATTGGAAAGCAATAGGATCTGGACACTCGGTGATCCTGAAATGAGAGGTTTTCTGCATTTCCTGGGGGTAATGGAAATGCTGATTGGCTGTCCAGCCAGTTTTTGTTACGTCTTGCCACTCACCATTGGTGGAGCAGCCCCAGTCAGATGACTGGGTTGCCCAGAGGACAGCTGGGTAAAGCAGCCAGAGTTAGGGTGTCTGGGGGAGACTAGCAGCCAATCATATTCTGGGACCAGATCACAGGGGGGTCTAAAGGGGAAATATCCCTGGCTGGTTTAAGCTGATGACGACGAAGGAAAGGGATAAATGAAAATTCAAAATGAAAATTCAAAATTCAAAAAGAAAAAGAGAAAAAAACAAAAAGCCCCCACACGGCCTTGTGACTGGATGTCGTGCCTGGATCTGGAAATGACTCCAAAAACGTGAAAATGTCAAAAAAGGGCCCTGGGACTATATAACATCAGGGCCCCGCGGTTTGTTAGCCATATCCACACATTCTGCAAATCCTTCATGGAAGTTTCAATACCCTTCACAGCATAGACTGTTTATACATCTACATCTACATCTACATCTACATCTACATCACATCACATCTACATCTACTTCTAATTCTCCCACCACCATACATCAAATCGACATGCCTTCTTCAAATTACCGCGTCGTTGAGCCACACCCTTCTGTCCCCCACGCCGGTCGCCCAGCAGTCTACACCGGCCGTGGCGGATGTGGAAACGTCGTCAACCTCAAGAACACCAAGACCACCGACTCGCGCAGCGCCAGCGGACCAGCCTCTCTCGCCCGTCTCGACTCCCGCCTGCCAACCAGCTTCGTCTCCGGCCGTGGCGGTGCTGGCAACATCCACAGCAGCAGCGAGCGTGCCATCTTCAGCTTCGACGAAGAGCTCGAGCGTGACCTGCGCCAGGCTGCCCCCGTCTACCACGTCGGCCGTGGCGGTGCCGGCAACACCATCTTCCGCGACGACTGCAGCAATTCTATTCTGACTCGCAAGTACTCGGCTGGCAGTACCGCTACCAACTCCAGCACTGGCTCCGTGGCAGATCGGGCCCGTGACATGGCCCGTCGTGGTCTCGAGAAGGGCTGGGGCAAGCTGAAGGGTACTGCCTAGAGCATATCTTTTCTACATTCTACATCAACGACATAACGACAAAAAAAAGTTCTTTGCCTTTTCTCTTTGACATTCTCATTCTCATTTCTAATATGGGTTTCCACCGGACCGGATTGAAACATCGAGGATGACAATACCCTCTACACTACATGTCATGTTTCTTTCTGCTGTCTGTGGAAATACCCCGAATCGAATTCCCTCACCATCTCTTTGTTTCGGCATGAAACTCCAACCTCTTCACTCTCAACCATGGGCAAACCGGCGTTTTCTTTGTTCTTTGTGGTTCATTTGCGCCTAGAGCCAAACCACCCTGCATCAACGCCAGGTTCTGGAAACCGGGTCCTATTCTTCTACGGAGTAGTCTCAAATTCAACATACCCAAGATCGCGCCATCGAACAGCAATTGTCTGGTTGCATCATTCCGGAGTTCCGTTTTCATTTTCCCATTTCCCATTATCCCATCTTACTCTGTTGTATCGCAATTTCCTGTATTTCTTTGCTGCTTTCACAACCATATTCCCCCCCCATATTGCGCCATTCCGAGGGCTACTACTTCCTAGCCATGGGTCTAAACAATCAAATACAAAATACATGCTTGGGGTTCTTGTCTTCCCTGGCTGGATTACATGTCTCCAAAAAACAAAAATATCTCCAATTACATCATTGTAGCCGTAGATTCCGTACTTCAAGACGTGCTTGTTGTGGTGTTGCCGGGTGCGGTTCCACCTATGGCGAATATACTCGCACGTCAGGTCGTAATGTCGTACCCGCTGCTAGGCGATGACAGCCGGACATGATGTTTTGGGATATCCACAGGTGTCTGTCTGTAGGTACAGCGTCAAAACTATTATTTGGGATCTACGGTCCAGAATATTCCATTCTCTTTGTTCTTATTATTCGGTTGATGTGGATTTCGCTTTCGGTTTCTGTTTTGGTTGGATTCCACCGCTGTTTTGGTACGTGGCGACATGCATGTTCTTTTTCATAGTTGCCTGTGTATTTGTTCTCTATTAAGACGTGCAACTGTTAATAGAATAAGATCCTTTTGTTTAAAATAGAAATTGCCTCCTTGGCTTACTCATGATTTCCATCCGGGTACTTCGGGTACTTGGTTGGTTACCAATCTATGAGACTATGACTACATGTCGTTGAGTCATAACTATGAATAGGGGAATAGGAGAATTGGAGAATGAACATCGGCATTATTTACCCATCGTCAGAGGTAGAATTCATAAGACGACTGCCACCGCTGCACTAAATATTCCAAGTAGAGTGCAAATATATCTACCGGATCTAATCAATCTACGCAGATGAAATCCATGACGAGAACTGTAGTATGTCCGAGTAAATTATGTCTAGAGTAGAACCATCCCCAAGACGCAGAGACTGTATTTGCAAAGTCAGAGCCAATGCCAGACGACATGAGCTGGAAGAAAATCGAAGCTGGGGTATCAAGAGTCAGGATACGACTCGGATTGTGATGTTGGTCGATCACTTCTTATGCACTGCCAATTGCATGATGATCGACCAGTGACAAGATCTGTTTCTTGTGTTGTTTGTTATGAAATGGGAGATGGTGCCTAGGATCGCGGTGGAGGCAGTGATGTGATCCGGAGTGACTCGGTAGAAGGCCACCATGATATCAAAGACTGTCGTCAGCGACGAGGCCTTTATGTAAATCGCTTGTGGATCACCTCGGGATCCTCGTGCCATTCGTCTGCGCTTACCCACATCTAGACAGTATTTAGTCAGCAATGATGAAGTAGACTTGAGGGATTAACATACCTTTCTAAACGTGCTCAGCCCGGCAAGAATGCTACCACCAATCCACGTGGTGTACTTCCGCTCGGCAGGCGCGGAAATGCGGATCTTCATGTCCTCGACGGCTAGTTTTTTGATCTCGCGCATCAACCGATCAGGGAAGTTCTTGCACAGTGTTGAACCCCCAGAAAGCACAATATTGAGGTATAGCGATTTTCGCAGGTCGAGATCTGTGCGAGTGATGGCGTCCTGCACGATCTGATGCACACCGGGATACTCGAGGCCGATGAGCTCGGGATCGAAGAGGATTTCAGGCGCACGGTAACGTTCTTGGCCGATCTAGACAAGTCCATTAGCATAACCCAGGACGAACGGTTCCGTAGACATACCTTGATCTTGTGACCATCCGGAAGAACATAGTCCATCGCTTTAGCATCCGATTTGTGGTAGCTGTTCATCCACTCCTTCTCTTCCCGCTTCGGATCCAGCGACACATAACAGACCTTCTCCTTAATCATCCGTACCACCTCCTTCTCAGCGCTAGTGTGCAGCACATGTCCAGCCTTCCGCAGCAGCAACTGCATCTGTTCCGTAACATCACGACCAGCAACATCAATTCTGCGAATACTGTTCGGAATAGCGAAACCCTCGAAAACAGGCACCGCGTGGGAAACACCGTCACCAGAATCCAAAACCACACCCGTGGTCCGGCCAGACGCATACAGCGACAACACAGCCTGGATAGACATGTACAGGGCCGGCACGTTAAAAGCCTCAAACATAAGCTGGGCTGCGATATCACGGTTGGCGCGTGGATTCAGCGGCGGCTCGGTGAGCAGGACGGGGTGTTCTTCGGGGAGGGTCTTGAGCTCGTTTTCGTAGACGTAGTGCCAAATCGATTCCATATCTTCCCAATTCGTGACAATGCCGTGTTCCAGAGGATACCTGATCTTCAACAGTCCGCGGAGTTCTTGTGCACGGGACCCGATGAACGAGTCTCCTTCCAGGCCGCCGGCCATCACCCGTGGGTGCTTGGGCCGGCCGACGAATGACGGGAAATAACATGATGGAATTTCCTCACCGGCGAAGCCTGCTCGGATTGTGCCACTGCCGTTGTCGATGACAATCGGCACGTTGTGGAGAGTTGCCTCAGCCATTGCGGGGAGTGTTGGGGATGGGAGGTGAGGTCGGGCAAGGACACGCGCGGGTATAGACGGCCTCTCGGCCTAGAATGGGCGACTCGGAGGATCAACGGAGTGGATGTTGATTGAAGGCGCATATAATGTTTCAGTGGCTGGGCGTTGATGTTGTCGATTCAGGAGTGGACACGAAACCGCAAATCCGCAAATCGGGAATTGTCAACAAGGAGCTTGGGCCACTAGTCCGCGCCTGGTGAATTGGACTTCAACGATAATTCGAGTTACAGTTATTATATATTTTACTGATTATAGTACGATATATAGTGCGATAATACACATGTGCCGATATTTGTACTAAAAGCTAATCGGTAGTGGTTTATGGGTCGAGAAGTAATTGATTCTCTTCGTGTATATTATGAGGTCTCACTCTCAACTCAATAGACCATACCAACTCGGACCAATTGCTTGATCGATGCCCATTTTGTTTTCATGCAGTGTCGTAATTCGTGATAAAGGCAGCGCTCAAGCCCATTCAGGCAACAGAAAGTATTGGCGGAAAGAGGCCACCAGAGATTCCTTTAGTCCAAAAAGCACAAATCATCAGACATACTTTCCGCAAGAGTTGTATTTCCAGGTGTCATAGACAATACTTCGGCTTTCTGAGTCTCTGCTCTGCTAACCGCACTGCTCACATCCCTGGTCAGAGGTTAGCCAAACTGGCCAAGACAAAGGAGGATAGGTTATTTACTCGACCGAACTACTAATCACGTAGTTCCCTTCCTCCAGCTCATCGGCTAGTTCCTGTTGATGATTATCGGCAAGGTCTGGATTGGGGACCACAATCAAGGGCACCCCCAAGCGAAGTCCTGCCAGAATAGTCCCAGTTCCTGTGAGATGGTAAGTGGATCAGGACATCCATATTGGACAGGCAAATATTGATGTTCATACCAGCGTGACAAATGATCAAGCCGCGCTTTTGGTCCAGAGCCTCTCTTTCCACCGTCATCATCATTTGGGCATCGATGCTCGGCTGGAAGTCGAAGCCCCCTAGGGTGATACCGTGGTCGGGCTGGTCACTATCGACGAAGTTTTGGAAAATTTGCTGGCCATCTTTACCGTACTGAACAAGAAGATGGGTGTAGCCGTGTTTGGCTAGGATCTCGAGAAATTGTGAATTAAGTATTTGTTCAAGTAGTTTCTGAAAGGAAGCCGTGGCCCCCACAGTCACAAAACATAGCTTCATAGTTGCAATGTTATTAGATCGAAGTGAACAGAGAATCAGTCTTGAAAAGTTCTCTCGTAGTCAATATCATCTCGATATAAGGGAATTGTCCAATCCAAAGATCAGCATATACCATGTTATCACGTGAGAACAAACCACACTAGTCCTAATATGGAATAGCGCACGGCGGTGAACCTCGCAAAAGTGGAAGCGGAAAACATCGTGATTGAGATCCTGCCCCTACCCACGCTATACCCTCAACAATGGCTTCAGCAGCTCGGTTACTGACTCGCCCGGTCGGGCATCTGGCTCGGAGGGGCCTCATGGCCCCCTCTGCTCGGTACTTCTCCGCCTCGCCGCTCAATCGCGTCCAGGATGACCCCGTGATTCCTCCTCCGCCGAAGGAACTCAGACCGGAGGATTTCCCCCAATGCCTGAGTACTCAGTCGATCTCCTTCCCAAGGAGCAGCGCTCAATGTACGATATGATGTCTCCCGAGGAGCGCGCGGCATTCGACGAACAGAACATCCGCATGGTTGCCGAATTCAACGACCCCAGGAAGCGCGCCGCGGCCTTTGAGGAAATCGAGCAGAGCATGCTAAGGATTGATAAGGAAGAGGATCTCCGATTCGAAGAGCCTCGGCCCCGTCGGGCTGGTTTCTGGGCTGAAGACGAGCCCGACGAGTTGGTGAACACACTCGAAGATGGAGATGAGGAAATCAATGACGACGAAATCACGTCCCTAGCACATGCAGAGATGGAATTGCACCGTGAAATGAGAGAATATGCCCGCATTACCGCATGGGACATGCCAATGCTGAGCAGTAAGATCAATTGCTCATCGGACTAGTCTTTCCACTAACGTTGAACTAGAGCTCGCCAAACCATTCACCCTGCCTCCCTCCACCCACATCCTGCGCTTCCGCTACACTACCTACATGGGTGAACAGCACCCAGCAGAGCCGAAGGTCGTTGTGGAGCTTACCTCCCAAGATTTGTCCCCCAAGTATCTCACCGAAGCCCAGCGCCAAACACTCCTCAAGCTGGCCGGTCCGCGCTACAACCCGCAGACCGATATCATCCGCATGTCGAGCGAGAAGTTTGGCTCGCGCGCCCAGAACAAGCGCTACCTGGCAGATCTCGTTAACTCGATGATCAAGGAGGCCAAGGAAGGCGACTCCTTCGCCGATGTCCCGCTCGACCTCCGCCACCACAAGCCCAAGACCAAGCTGCAATTCCCCGAATCCTGGAACATGACCGAGACCCGTCGGAGTCAGCTGGCTGCGCGGCGCAAGGAGCGTCTAGTTGCCGAGGAGGAGCGAGCTGCCCTTGTGGACGGTAGTTCGGTTGTCTCCGAGGCTATCAAGACTCTGCCTTCACTCAACCCTGCTCTCCAGGTCAAGGCCGCTGACGAGCGGGAGCGCGTTGCTGTCAAGGTTGGCGCTCGGAAAAAGGTGGCTCGCCGGTAATAGATGTCGCCAACTGTATATTGGGTGTGTTTGAGAAGCTGTTGTCAAACATTTGCGAGGCGCGGGCGCATATTTCAGGATTTTTGGCATTTTTCTTTCGAATGTACTATAGTCATTTTACTCCATGCATTGGCGGCTCGCTGTTGTTCCATTTGTAGTTTGCCTCTCGACTTACCAGCGAGTATAAATTAGACCTCTACTTCAATACTCGCAACTATGTAGAAACTACTAGAGAACCGAAGGCAACAAAACATTGCATTGATAACTGGTGATAGCTATCTATCTGCCAAGACCAAGGGAGTCAGCAAGACCAACTGCAACCTCGTCATCAACTCCAGTTCCTCTGTAAAACAACAACATCCTGTCCATGATAGATGGAACAAGGCCCCGCTGCGGTTCCAGGTAAATAAGAATAAAAACAACACACGCGAAAATCACAACTCCATATGGGCACATTTTTTTTCCATATTTTGAACGCTTGAAACGCTTGAACGGTGCCACGCAAAAAAACAATAAAAATCAAATAAAGAAAATAAAGAAACGAAAAAATTGACCACAACTGCCTCTCCACCATGAGGATTGTCGTCATGACTATTCCATTTGCTTGGGTATAGCCTGTGGTATGATATGGCATAATTATCCGGTAGATCGACATCGAAAGGAAACAACATCCAAGCACCAGATCTCATACGCCTGAAGAAACAATCAGTGAGCGGCATCATGAAATCATGAGTACCACTCCGGGCCAAGCATGCCTGACTGAATTGTTTCAAACGATCCAATTAGTTGCTGCGGCGGAGAGTGTTGGAGTAAGGTCCAAACATGTGCGAGATGTTCTCGAGAGGAGGGCTGGTACGCTTGAGAATGGGACCTCCAATGGGACCCCAGGTGACACGGGTGTCATTCGAGCTCAGGGGCACATTGTCATTGAGCTGAAGGTCTCCAATGCGAGGAGTGGAAGATCCGTAATCCCTCTGGACGGTGGCACGAGAGCTGTTCGACTCCGACTGCTTGCGAGCAGGGATATCAACATGAGCGAATGAACCGAAGTTCGAATCCCACGCGGCATGGTCCTTGGGGAGCATGACACCACCATCGGAAGAAGTGTTCGAGTCGTGCTGGTACACGTGAGAGGACTGGACACGGTGGTTGGGCTCAATCGGCTTGTTCAGGGCGTCTTCGAAGGTATCTTCATCACACTCGGTCAGGCTATTGATATTCCGGTAGAGGTTCCGGGTTTGAAAGTTACCGTCATCCAAAAGACATTCGTTGGGACGTTGGTCGGTATCGATAGTGATCATGCTGCGCAGCGCGGGGATAGGGGTGCGAACTTGATCGCGGCCAAATGCCTGAGCATCATAACGGGCGACAGCTGAGGCACGGGGGGAACACTCGCCGCTGCGATCACTGTCACGCTCGCTCATCATACCGTGACGAGTGGAGCCCATGTTTCGGTTACGACCACCACGGTGGGAACCTTTCCAGTTGCTGACATGATGTCCATTGGGAGCCCCGTTTCGGCCACCGCGGTTACCAAATCCGTTGTGACCTCCACGGTTGGATGGTCCACGGGGAGGGGACTTGGTGAACTCGGCAGACTTGCTCAACTTCGGGGTTGCACGGACATTGGACGCCTTGTCGGCGTTGGTCTCGTCGGTAGGCGAAGCCGAGGACGGCAGGGCCCGCATGGGGGGTTGCTGATCCGCAATGGTCAGCTGGGGGCGATTACGATTTGGGTGCAAAAGGCTGGTTACGTTGAACTTCTCGCGGTACCAGCGGGGAATATCACGCAGCCCAAGTTTCTCAACCAACTCCTGCTCATTGGGCATTTCATGCTTGTACAAGCAACCTGCGACATGGGGTCAGTCAAGGCCTCATAGGGTCTCCGTCATGTGGTCAACTTGCCTTGCTGGGAGTAATCGCATTCACCATGGCGAATCCAGTACGAGCAGTATTCCTTCTTGGAAGTTGGAGCCTATGTTGAAAGGGTTAAATCATAGACCATGACATGCCAGGGACACTTGGCCATACATGCTTGTTGCCGACGTGGTTGTTCTTTGCCTGGAATATCGGCGCCATTGGAGAAAGTCCGTTGGAAGGAGTGCCTTGACCGACACGTCCGTTGTCGATTCCCTCGAAGAGAATGGCTTTGGCAGATGCCTGCATGTCCTCAGGTACATTCTTATCGGTGATAAGCTGCAGCAAGAGGCTGTGCATATCAGGCAGACCTGCCTGAGCCTCAGAGGACTTGGGAAGTCCCTCGACAGACCAAGGTTCGGGACGTTGGGCAGCCAGGCCACAGCTGGTCATACCCTGGGTCTCCCCAGCAGTGATGATACGAGGGGCACCATGGATGGTGACGTTAGTGGGTAGCTCATCAACTGCTACCAGAGGAGTCAAGGACCCATCAGGACGGGTACAGAAAAATTGAGGACGACCAGGAGCCGCCATCTTGACAAAAGGCAAATCTTGCTCAAGAATAAAGATGAGAGACTGGGGTGGATAGGATTGTGCAGTAAGAATGGTCTGTATGGTACAGAAAGGAAGAGGTAAGAGGGATGAAGAAAATAGGTGGGAAGAAGTGTTTGTGCGAGAAGGGGGGGAGGTGACAAGCGACTGAAGGGGCAGGTGACAGGTGACAGGTGACAGGGTGATAGCCCTAAAGTTGACAAACAAGACAATAGCAAAATGGGAAGATGGGATGGGAAACTGAGATTCGGGAAAACACAATCTCATATATTGGAGAGCCCTAGCTCATGAAGCCTGCCTTGCGCTAACTATCTACATATCAAAGAGATGTATGAATTAGATCTACCCAATGAACTGTACTATTCTAGATACATTGGATATACTGAATACACAATGGGATCTATCTGTGTTTAAGCTCACAATAAGGTCGCCATGACAAAGACACCCTGGTCCATCAGACCGGGAAATGAGGGTACCATGTTGCAAGTGGCATGCAAACATCATTCTATGCATATCAAAGAGCAGATAAATCTAGAATAGTGTAGGAATAGACCGATTAAAGGCACGAATAAGCTGTGTATCGTTCGGCGACTAATACATTTGGCGCGTAAAGGCATCGTGGACGTGTGTCTTGGCAAGGTTGGCCGGCTACCTGCAGAACATGCGTAGTCCAATTCTAAATCTGACCTTCCATGCTGCTTCGGCATGTTCCTTGCCTTCAATGTGCTTATATCAATGCTACATATGCTTAAGGCTCCACCAATACTCATGTCCTTTGTATTGTTTCTACGGGTAGAGGGTGGGACAAAAAGAATATACTAATACAAACAAAGATTGAAGTCTTACTCTATGAGAATGACACAATGATTTAGTCTCTTGGTTCGTCTAGGTCTGTGTGAGTGATGTTCTCTCCTGAATATACTTCTTCGACCCGGTACGACTTATCATAGTGTCCTTTTCCACCTTATGCCAACTATATTTATTACCTTGGAACTATACATCTTGCTTTCAATATCTTAGAAAAACTACTAGGCATTCTTTTTCACATTAAGGAAAACTTGTATTGCTTGCTTGAAATAGGACAAAGTGCTTTCGGGCGGTCACCACAACCACCACAACCCATCCAACCTGCAAGTAGCCTAGTTTGATGAACACATTCAGATGCACGAAGTCCAAATTGATCATGAGCTAAAAAAATCCAATAACGAATATCATCTATTGCTGTTCTTCTTTCCCGTCATGTCGCATGTTGTCACAATAGACAATGCGGCTCGGGTACGGGTGGCTTAGCTTAACCTAAATTGTCCGAAGCCAACATCATTGGCTGCAGAATAAAATCTCCGAACGTTGAAAATCCACCAAATCTAGGGTAAGATTCCAAGCCAAATAAACTCTTTTAGAGAAACAAAACAAATGAAACGAAAAAAGGCATCAACTGCGATTCTGCCAAAGCTATCCTAGTGGATGACCTTGGCCATGGTATGCTCCACTTCTACAACCCATCCCAGGGACTTGACAGCCGGTCCTCTTGCTTGAACTAGGTGTCTAATTCCTGCATCGGCAGACTTCCTTTCATTCCATGTCTCCATTATCATCTTGACTGGATTTCCCCCGCGTTATTTTGATTGTGTATCGAAGCGTTCTTCTGGTAGCATTCTCGCTTTCGTGACTTGATTCTGTCGGCGTTTTTCTGTCGCTATTATCGGGATCTCGAGCTGAGTCGCTCTGCGTTATTCTGCCGGTATTCTCGATTTCTCAACCTGATTCTTCCCGTGTTCTTCTGCTGTTGATCCGTTTCTTTTCTTCGACGACCTCACCCACATCCAAGTCATTGTTCAGCTCATGCTTCAGTTGCAGCAGGTCTCTTGTTAGATTAGATGGAGCTAGCACCAAGTTCGCTGGGTTTTAGTTGTTGAGACCAGTGTATTCTTATTAGAAAAAATGCGGAATACTGCTAGACACACTGGTCACAGCAGGAAGAATTCCCATGGATAATATGACAATTCAGTAGCCTTTTGACAGGCCCTAGTTGCTTTCCCCATTGCCTGAAACACACACAGGAGAGCTGGCCTTTTGATTTTGTGTCAAGGGATCTCGGAACATGTGTAGGGGACGAGACTGCGCTTTGAGTCACCCACACATCCCCCTTCCATACCTCCACTGCTACTGATTTCAAACAAGAACCATCTTACTAGGATGCTGATATGCCATTAGTCCCAAGATCCAGCCAAATGGGCCGACGGCGAATTTCCACCATTCTGTGATGAAGAAGGATGTCCGTATGCACCTCTTTGTTTATTTAAAGATTTTGCATGTCACCACTAACAATCCCCATGGCTTACATGGTGAGATTCAAATGTTTGCCTGATTTGGATTGCTTTCTAGTCGTCATTGATATAGATAAATATCCTGTCTAGTAAAGAGGGGACCCTAGGATAGGGGCACCGACAGCCCTGCCTGTTAAACAGGTGTGAGAGCAGAATCGTCACTGGGAGTAGTAGGGTTCTAGAGAGGAGAACACCATGGGGTGACTACTGAGAATGGAAGTGGAAAGGTGTCTGCGTTGCTATCTATGCCTCGGGAGTGCTTTTATGTCACATAGCCGCTTAGTCATCCTGCTCTAGAAACCCCCACTGCACTAGTAAGGTATTTGCTCAAAGGTCCATAGAAACAAAAGAAATGGATGCAAAGAACTAAAAACATCGATCTCTCTACTTTCCTGCGATACCATTGCATATCAGAGTGGACCTAGTTGTTCTACGGAGTACAACATGCAATATTATAATCATACAACTTCATATTGATTCTCTCAATTTATCAAAACAAAGCTGGGTATCTTTCGCTCATAACGCCCAGAACAACCCCCCTTTTTTGGGAGATATACCAAACTCTCCCAATGCAAGTACACAAACAAAACAAAACAAAACAAAAATCAAAGAAAGAAAGAGGGGAGCCGCAGCTCATCTCTGACGGTAATCACAAAGTGATCAAAAGACGCCCCTACTGGGGCCGGCCGTGGCAGTAGAAATTCTTGAGTCTTTCGACCCAGCACTTGCCCCCGTTAAACCGGTAGGGGCACGGCTCACCCCACTAACTGAGGGCGAGGTGAAAATCCGAGACTCCGCCTGAGTGGCAGACGAAGCCTTCCTCCGGGCGGTCTGCCCCATTGATTTGAGAACACCCCGAAGGTATTTTTTCGCCTCAAAGATGAGGGCCGGGTCCTCCGGGCTCTCTTCCAGCGTATCCAGCATACGGCTGACCTGCACCCGTGACTGCAGGTGGGGGCAGATCCGGCGGCCACCCCAGTGCGCCAGGCCACAGAGGCCACAGAACTCGACACCAGCCGAACGGAGTGGGCACTGCCCAGGGATGTGGCGTTGTTTGCACGCCACACAAGGACGGATATCAAGGTGGTAGGTCACTGGGGGCGGGGAATTAACACGGCGGAACGCGCGTGCGACTGAGAATCATGTACAGTTAACGAACTGTGTCTTTACAAACGCAATACGAAATGATAGGGTATTAAAAAAGAAAAAGAAAAAGAAAAAAGAAAAAAGAAAAAGAAAAAGAAAAAGAAAAAGAAAAGCAATAACTAGGATACGCATGGAATATGGATTAGATCTCACCTTGCTGTCCTGCACCGACACGAAGACCAGGTGTGACAACATTTGTAGTGCCCATTTGTGCCTCAGTCCTGTCGCCGTCATATGCAAGGTCCATTGGGTCAGCGCCGTGATCGGACTCGAACTCAGTCTCATCACCATCATCCTCTGGCTGCTGGAACTCATCGTCATTGTCAGCTGCACGCTTTCGCATCTTGCTAGGCGGCTTTCGGGGGCTAAGATTCTCATCGTCGTCAACTCCTTCGATAACAATATTGGTATTGTAGCGGGGTGTGCCGCGCTTTCTTTTACCGCGCCCAAGACCTTCAGCTTGACGGTTAGCTTCCTCCTGCGCTTCACGTTCACGCTCCTGCAGAATCTTCTCCCACGCTGTAACATCCACAGGCGTGTCCTCAGTCTCAGTCACTTCTTCAAGGCTACCTCGATCCTTTTGCCACACCCGGGCGAAATTGAACTGCGCCTGCTCATTCTGGTCCGAACTTCCCTCGCTGGCAATTTGCTTGACCTGCTCAGCCTGGCTACGGTCCAACAGCTTGTCAATGGAGTCCACATCGTAAGTAATGTCTGCCGAGTCATCGTCATTGAACAGTGCCTCCGCACCATGCTTGAGGATGGACTCTAAGTCTTCTTTATCTTCATCGGCCTCGATGCGATCGATAAGTACGTGATCGAGTGCCATCTTGGTTTTACCTTTCTGCATGATTTTTTCCTCCACTGACGCGCGCACTACCAGGTGGAAAACAAGGACTGTATTCTTTTGCCCGATTCGATGAGCACGCGACAGAGCCTGCATGTCTTGTTTTGGGTTGAAATCCGGATCCATGATGATGACCGTATCGGCAGTGGCGAGGTTAATTCCGACACCACCGGACCGCGTCGAAAGCAAAAAGGCAAAGAATTGGGAATCCGGCGCGTTGAACTGGTCGATCTGTTGCTGTTTTTCCCTCGAGGATAAGTTTCCATCCAGGCGACAGTACTGGAGTCCCAGTCCAGTGAGGAAGTCTTCAACAATGTCGAGGTTCTCTAAAAATTGACTGAAGATGAGGACGCGGTGTCCACGTTCTCGAAGTCGCGGTAACATCAAGTTCAGCAACGTAAGCTTCCCGGATGCTTCGACCAAACGCCGATGGGAAAGCTGAGGGTCCAGGGTCTGCTCTTCGATGTCCCGGTTATAAATGAACGGGTGACAAAGACATTTGCGCAGCTGCATCAGGATATTGTTCAAATTATGGCGCTCTGCTTTCTTCAACTGCCCGACTTGCTTCTTGCAAATAGCCTTGAGAAGCTGCGGGTTCTTTTGAAGGATCGACTTGTACAGCTTCTTCTGCACAACAGACATCGAAACTGGAATGATGATTT